TCCGGGTCATGGCAACATTAGTGGGGCTTTTCTGTCATCTATCTTATTAAATCGGCTAGAGTAAGGGCATGGTGTGGCCATGCATGCTTCTAACCTCAGCACTCAGAGGCTAAGGAAAGCACACCATGAGTTGAAGGCCAGCCTGGACTACAAAGTGAGACTTTTGTGTCTCAAAAAATAAAGGGAGGGGGAGGGTAACTGGCAAGTAAACATAAAATACCACACAAGGGTCTGTCATAAACAAAACATTCTTTATATTCAATAGTTTTTAAACTTGAGTATCTGTTTCTAGTAGTTTAAAAGATTTGGCTTTGTCACTCAAACATATAAATCTTAAATCCTGTATTTAAATTTACAAAGGAACTGGAGTGCCAATGGGGAGGGAAGTTAAGAGGTAGCAAAATTCAGAGATAATGTAAAGATGTTTTAAACCCAAATGCTCTATTTCATCACAATTTCAAATGAGTCCTAACTATATATGCCAGATTCTATTCTAAAAGCTTTACTTATCTTATTTGACCCTCACAACAACTTTCATTTTACTGATGAGAAAATTAAGCAGAATTTAAAGCAGGATAGGAATTAAAATTCAGTCTAAACCAGGTGAGGTGGCACATGTCTATAATCCCAGTACTCAGGAGGCTGACCCAAGAGGACTGCTGAAAGTTCGAGGCCAGCCTGGGCTACAATAGTGAGCTCAAGGATAGCCTGAACTACAGAGCAAAACCCTGTCTCAAAAAACAAAAACAAACAAAAAAATCAGTCTAGTTCTATTAGAGTGTATTTTTTCCAATTAACTATTTACATTTCCACAAGACAAAAGTCAAAACTTACTGACTTCTAGAATGAATTAATACTCAGCCTTTAAATATCCCTCCTTTTCAAAACTGAGAACAATCTTTAACCATGAGCTCTCAGGCAGGACATAACTTATTTGGGGAAAAGTAACAAAACAACAAGAACCATGCTACCATATAAACTCAGGTTCAGCAAACTGGTTTACGTGGCAAATCTAGCCTTTTGCCTGTTCTTAACATAGGTTAAGAATGGTGTTGACATTTGCTAAATGGTTATAAAAAGAAAACAAAGAATTGGCAATAGAGAACCTAAAAATTTACTATCGTTCCTTTATGCAAAACAATTCATTAATACCTGATGAAAACTACTGACAAAGGGGGTACTTGCCCCTTTTCTCCTTTTTAAAATTAAATGTAGAAATTGACTTGTGGGCCGGGGATTTAGCTCAGTGGTTTCACTGGCTGCTGCACAAGCGCAAGGACCCAAGTTCGATCCCTGGTACCAAAAAAAAAAAAAAAAGAAATTGAGTTGTAAGATACAAACTATAGTATTAAAAGTGGGTTCCGTTGGCTTCATACCAGCAAGACAAACCACACACCCCAAAAAGGGAAAAAATAAGTGGTACCCTCTTACCAGGAGGTGGCAGTAGTTTCTTCCAGAGGCAAGCTTCTGGCTTGCCCATGTGCTGAAGTTTTGTGTAGTGGCTATTAAGAAAAATAACCAGGGCCAGGGATGATTTAGCTCAGTGGTTCTGCTGTCTGCCTCAAAAGCACAAGGTTCAAGTTCGATCCCCAGTACCAAAAAAAAAAAAGGAAAGAAAAGAAAAACAACCAGCTTGACCTCCCCAGAGAACTGCACAAAAAATGAAATGGGAAAGTAGACTGAACAGGTGACAAGAACTCATCACATTCTCTTTAGTGACCTGCTCACTCCCAAACAGAAAAATAGCACCATTCCTTTATAAAAGTGCCTGGGCTAAAAGGTAAAGGGGTAGGAGAGCAGGCAAATAAAAACGATCAACTTGCATGTTCGGAGCTATTCTTTATTTTTGTTTCTACAATTCTTAAGGTTTACTACCCTTCTGTTAGTTGAACAATACAAAGGATCTCTGTCTCCACTACTTCAAGCACAATGATATTTTAAAGGACAGAAGTTTAAAGGGGAAAATGCTAAACTTCAGACACCTCCCAGCAGCACTAAACCAGCAGTCAAAACCAGAAATTACAAGTCAACTGAACATATGCAAAAGTCACAGGTACCAAGGGACTGCACTGGCTAGTTGGCCTGACAGGTTGGCAAATGTCCAGTAATAGTGCCAGACATTTCATTCATAATACAACCTTCTACTACACAACCAAATGCTTCATTTTTGCCCAGAAACCATCAGATATTTCATCAAATAACATAGTATGAAACATGCCATGTCATGAAGCTCCTTGTTATTCATGATGACTCAGCAGCTGCTGCAAAATATCCAGTTGACAGCCTAGGTCTAGGATAGTAGACAGCAAGCAGGTCCACCAAAGTTCCAGTAAGGGGTAAAAAATGTCCTTATTTTAAGATGAAAAGAAAAAAAATCAATAAATAGGAGAGTACCCTTTTAACATAAGCCTGAATACTTTTCTTTGGTAGTTTCTGCAGTATTAATACCTATAGTGTTAATAAACAAACCCCAAAATATCTTTATTCTCAATTCAATGTACTTTCTTGTTAAATGGCTGGGGCAAGAAGCCAAGAGTATTTTAGACAGGGGGCAATAATAAATTATCAAGATCCAAAACAAAACTACACAGCCTGAAACCATATCAACTCTAACAACTTGGATTTTAGGTATTATGCTATTAAAACATCGTTTCTTTGACAGTACATCTAAGTACACTTTAAAATAAGCAGTGATTATATCTTTTCCCACCCAGAATACATTAGCTCCCTTGTAAACTTTGTTCAGACTATCCAATGGTATTAGTTCAAAAAATTTCACTTTTCTGTATATACCACACGATCTTAGAAAGCACTCAAAGACATCCTTAGGAGAAACAGAAAACACGCATGTCTAACTTCCATTCTACAAAAGTTTGGGTAAGGTTAAATGGCCAGGACTGTGACCTGAATTCTGATTTTAAATCTGTATGTAAATGTCTGTTTCTCATAAGAAAAAAAAAAAAACTTCGAAAACCAAACACATTCTGTACATATCAGGGGGAAAACAATGAGTGGTAGTAAAGTCAAGCTTTCTAGTTCTAAACCAAAACTTCTATTATTTAAAAATTTCCTTCAATTCTTTACAAAAAAATCTGTCAATGGTACCACACCAACAAAACAAAGTGTTCGATATTATCTAGAATAAAGTAATCTAAAACGTCTACTTTTAACAGCATGCAACAAGTTATCCGATCTTTTTACTATATTTTTGTTTTTTTAACAAGTTTAAAACATACTTCCTACCTACCTTATTGCCATTCAGGAGCTTAAGGGACTTAAAATAGGTCTCTAACATTTTCCTATGCAACACAAGTAAAACTTTAAAAACTGAATACTGTCAGAATCAAACGTCTCATTTACAATTAGGATGAACTCCTTTATATAATTTTTAAACATCGAGTATATGGGGGATAAATTATAACCACCAACGCTCCTTAAGTGTCAAAAGTACTCAAACTTCTAAAAAACGTCCCGATGTTATTAAAATATTTTTTGTGTAAGAAAAGAGCTGGAGACCTGGACAACTGTGGAGAACTGCCCAATTCCAGCCTCCCACATACAGAGGCGGGGAGGAAAGAAGAGGAAGGGAAGAGCAGCGCAGCAGAGAAAAAACGTAAGGGTGGAGAGGGACTTTCAAAATGCCCCAGTGCCACGGTAACTATAACCCAGTTAAAGAAAAAAATCCTAGGCCAATTTTCTTGGGCAGCGGAGGACATCGGGCAGAGGACATGAAAAATTATTTAGTAAGTTAAGCCTAAATTACTCCACTTTCCGTGTTAACAGCGCCCCCAATTCCCTGTGTGCCTCGGAGACCGATTACTCGGGGCAGGCCCTCCCCAGGCACCCCGAACCCTGAACCCTCAGCCAACTGCAGTAAATTGCACCCGTAGGACCTCCAACCTATCTTTTCCCTTCTCCCTCAAGAGGGCGAAAACCATCAAACCCTCAATAACCGCCAAAAAGATGCCCACGGTTCTCAAACCTACAATTTCCCTTCCCGCCCCGCGCCGCCCTCGGAAAGCCCCGAGCCCAAGGGCTGGGGAGGAGGCCGAGCCCCACGTGTGCGCCGCAGGCCGGGCGTCTCAGCCCACTTCCCGTCACCGCCCCAGCGGCCTGAGCTCTGGCGCCGCGCTCAGGCCTTTCTTCCCGCCCTCCCGTCCCTCCACGTGGGGCGCTGGGCCTCACACGGCCCGCTCCCTCCCGGTCCCCTGGGCCCCCGCGGCCGCCGAGTCCGTACCTGGCGCTGGGGTCGCCCCTGTTGGTAAGGCTTGATTGGCCCCTGGTGGCAACGCCGCGTCCGGATTTTGCCGCCACCGCCCCCTCCTCCTCCACCACCTCCTCCTCCGGCTCCCGAGGCCATGGCGGAGCCGCGGCGGCTTCCCGCTCCCGGGCCGGAGAGGCAGAGGTGGCGGCCTTAGGGCCTCCCCCGCCCGGCCCCGGCCCAGGGCCCAAAGTCCGCCCGCGCTGCCCACACAGGAAGGCACAGACAGACCAAGCGGCGCGAAGCTGCGAGGCCAAGGCGAGAGTGCGAACGCGCCGGCAGCGACGGAGGGAGTGGCGGCCGCCGCGACCGAGGATCTGGCTCCAGAACGGCCTCTTCTTGCGGGCCCCCGCGTCTGTTTTTTACGGTCTCTATGGAGATCTCCCGCGGAGGACAGGGCGAGCCCTTCCCGGCGCTGCTGAGGCCTAACTCGGCCGCCTGCTAGTGGAGGTTCTTCCGCCGCCCTAGGCGTCGCTGCCGCAGTTCAAGCCGCCGGCGCCGCCCGCTCACACCCGAATCTGCGCACGGCGCCCGCTCCACCGGCCGTCGTAGTCCCCGCAGTCGCCGCCGCTAATTGCGCCTATCGCCGCTGTTTAGGCCGCGTCGCGGTCGCGAGCCAGAACGACGTCACTCGTCGCGGTCCCTGCGTTTGAGTCATCACGCTGCGACCGCGTGATAGGCGAGGAGCAAAGAAGGGCTGGTAGAGCCCGTGCTCTCGGCCTCGCGGCACTCTGGGAAACGTAGTTCGGCTTGAAGACGCGGCTTCTCGGAAAGATGACACGCGCGGAATATCTGCAGGGTGGCCGGAGGCACAAAGCCAGTAAAGGGACTGCTGCTCTCGGCCTTAAATTTGAAGTGTGAAGAGGCGTTTACCATGAAAATAGTAAGCTTTTCCTGCTCTGCTTTTCTTCAGCAATTGGGTAAGCAGGCAGAAAGTAAAAAATACAAGGACAATTTATTAAAAAGAAAAGAGAAAAACCTGCAGTTAAACAATGACCGCGATCTTTAGGCCTAAAGCCGATGAGAAAAATACATACAGCTTCATTATTGTCAAACACATAGGGCTGGAATTCTGGGTTCACCTGTCTACCTGTATGACCTTGGATGACTCAAAACCTTTTGAGCCTGAGCTTCCCTCTATAAAATGGGAACTCTAAAATCCATCTTGTAAAGCTGCTGTGAGGCGCAGACTTGAGTAGCTACGTAGAGCACTCGGTGTATTTCCTGGTGTGCAGGAAATGCAGTAAATGGTTGCAATTAGAACCCATGTAGTTAGGTCACATTCTGAGTGGTATGTTCCATGTAATAAAAGTATACATTGGGCCGGGGATTTAGCTCAGTGGTTTCGTTGCCTGCTGCGCAAGCGCGAGGACCCGAGTTTGATCCCCGGTACCAAAAAAAAAAATATGCATATATTTACTCCAACTAGCATTATATTTAGGAGAATGAATAAGTGAGCTAGATTCAAATATTGACTCCACAATGTGGAGAAATTCTGGGAACTGACAGATTTGAGTGAGCACTTGGTCCAGCTCTCCTAATCAAAAGACAAGATAGTGGACCAGAGGATTAAGGGCACTGAAATAGGCAGTCAAAGCTGGGACATAACCAAAACTTTCTATGAGTTGAAGCAGCTAAATGATTAGAGAGAAAAGTCTGTTGTAAAGAGGTTATATGCCATTTTAGATAGTTATTTTAAAGTTTATGATAACTTTGAGGTGTAATAGACACTTTTTTTTTTTTGGTACCAGGGATCGAACTCGGGTCCTTGCACTTGCGCAGCAGTCAGTGAAACCACTGCGCTAAATCCCCGGCTAATAAACAATTTATATCCGTCACTTACTAGCTGTGTAGCCTTGGGGGAAATTACTGATTCTCTTTCTAAGCCTCAGCTTCCTCATCTACAAATAGAATGAATATTTACCTCAACGGGGTGGCAGGTCTTCGGAAAGGACGAATGTATTCCCAACTCATAACTGTTTAGATAGAAAACATCTAATATCAACCAGCTGTCACCTAACAAGTAATAAGCTATGAGACCTTTATAGCATCTAACCACAAAATTCCAGTCACAGTTTAAGTCATATATGTGTGCTGGGTGTGGTGATGCAGGCCTGTAATCCCAGCGCTCGAGAGGCTGAGGCAGGAGGATGGGTATGAGTTCGAGTCCAGCCTGGAATACATAGTGAGTTCAAGGTCAGCCTGAACTACACAGCGAGACCCTGTCTCAAAAAAACAAAAAAATTTAAAATATATATATAAATAAATAAATCATATATGTGAAATTATGAAGCCAAACTTATAGTGGTTTTGAACTTGTAAGACCTTTCAGCACCTAAATAAATCGTGTCCTACCAGACATAGACTGCAGACCAAGTGACTTTTGGTGGCACCTCTGACCATAACCACCAAGACAAGTTCCCGAAGATGATAGTAATAACTAACCCACTTTCTCTTCTCCCATCTAAGCTTCGTTCTCCCTTCCACTAACTGCCCCTAGGCTTTCCATGTAAGTTCTTGTCCCTGAAGTACTTCATCTTTCTTAAATAAAATGATATCTTTCAGATGTTCTTTCCCTCCTACACAGAAATCCCATTCTTTCACAATTCTTAGCTAGGTATTTGACAAGTACTCCCTGAAAAATGAATTTACAGGGAAGATCTGTCTTGTATCTGTAATTGGTCTACATATATAAGAGATTGAACTGTGCCTACATCCAATTTTCCCATTTCACTCATCAGAATCAAACTTTCAGCAAATCTCTTTCTGGAAAGGGACAGCCTTCATGGCCAAGATTTGAAAGGAAGATATGCAAAAAAATTGGGCCAAACTACAAATTTCAAAATAGAAGATCGGTAAAATTTGAGGAGATATGGAATGATCTACATCTGAGGCTTGTATCAGTTGTTTCACAAATATTTCTTTGAAGTAAAACAATATGGGAACAGAAATAACAATAGTTCTGGCCGGGAATTTAATTTAGTGCAACCACACCTGCCTCAAAAGCACAAGGTCCTGAGTTCATCCCTAGTAACAAAAAAGAGAGAGAGAGAGAAAGAAATACAGTAGCTGGGCTGGGGATTTAGCTCAGTGGTTTCACCGAGGCGCAAGGACCCGAGTTCAATCCCCAGTACCAAAAAAAAAAAAAAAAAGAAATACAGTAGTTCTGCATGCACGTGATTGATTGAGTGAAACTATACCAGAGAAGGAATGAGACAGTAGGAAATCTACCTTAAACCTGGGCCAATTTTTTTCCAGCCAAAATAAATAGTATAAGTCCAGGGGTTTAGCTCAGTGGTTTTGCCGCCTGCCGCGCAAGCACAAGGACCTGAGTTCGATCCCCAGTACCAAAAACAAAACAAAACAAAACAAAATAAATAGTATAAAGTCTATTACTTGTAGGTTCTCCCTCTACCAATAAACTTCTGTATTTTTTTCCCCACATAACATGGTGACCCTCTGTCAGTAATAGATCAGCAAATAGAGAAGCTACTGACCCTTCTCTAATAGATGAGGAATATCCAACTAATTACAAAGAGGCCTCATTCTTCAAAAGTAAGACAATTCCAACCAAAGGAGTATGTAAGGACAATTATAGAAAATTAGGAAGTTGTTTGCATTATTTTACCCTATAAACAAAATGATATATCTCCTATGTCTCTTGAAGCAAATTATTTTGTTGAGAGTAGTTTTAGATAGATCTCCATATTTCACCCATTTTCATGTAATAATTATTACCAAGCATTTCATTCGGTAGAAAAATAGTGAAAGCAGTGGGGTTTTTATTCACTTATGCAGTTTCAACTGGAGAACTGTGAAGTAGTGTAGTGAGGTTCAGATTCTAGAAGGTTATTGGGGATTTTCCCTGATTGCTTGTATTCTAGAGGAAGAAGGGCCATAGCAAAGGGAAGACATTTAAAGATTTAAATTATTGTACTTCCATTAACTTACTCTGTTCTCTGTCATTTGGGAATAAAGTAATACTTAAGACTAAATGCATTAACTAATTAAGTTTTGATTAGCTACATCTATCATGATTCCAACATACCATAAGATTGTCCCTCTTCTTATGTATATCAACATATGCTAGGTTTTGGTTATAATGATTTTATGTAAACACATATCATTTAAGGCATATTATAAATTCATCATTCTTGATTGGCAATTCAGTTTTATTAGAAGAAGTGACCAAATTCAAGAAGATCAATGCCATCCTAACATGTAAGATAGTTAATGAATAATCAACTGAGATTAATTCTTTAAAAACCCTATTATTGAGAACCCAATATATATTGGCTTGTAGTCTAGTATTTGGTGTGTCATTGAATAAAACTGTAAAACCCCCTGTCCAGTTGTACATTGTACTTTACCATTTTTCCAAATTCTCTTTAAAGTTTAATGTATTATATTCTATTGACCACTAGCACTTAACACTAATAATTCACCTAAAAATTTTACATTATACATCCTAAACATATTGTATTAAAACCATACCATACAAGCAATTTTTGGCTTTTTTAGTTTTTTTAATATAATTCATCAGTCACTTAGAAAACTGGACTCATCAAAGTTGTAAATATAAAACTATACTGTTTCCAAAATTCAATTTGCTAGCACTAAGTATCAAGCTTATTTTTTAAAAGCATTTGTAGAAAATGCTTATTTTTGTCAACCACTAACACTGTTTTATCTTGAGGGCTGTTTTATTTTTTTGGTACCGGGGATCAAACTCGGGTCCTTGCGCTTGCAAGGCAGGTGGCAGAACCACTGAGCTAAATCCCCGGCCCCCTGTTTTATCTTGAGAGACAGGGTCTTCCTATATAGTTCAGGCTGGCCTTGAACTCACTATGTAGCCCAGGCTGGTCTCCTACTTCTGATAATCCTCCTGCCTCAACTTCCCAAGTGCAGGATTATAGACATGTGCCACCAGGCTGGCAAGACACTAACTTATTAAAGCTTTTCTTTTCAAGAATATCCTGCTAATTAGCATGGAAACAACCCTAATAATATCTACATCACCCTCCACCAGAAAAGCACCAACTACCCAGTTTACACAAACAGTGGCTTTGGGCCCCTTGCTGCTCACTGACTGTAGCATCCTCCCCAGAGCTTGTTAGACTAAAGCATCCTACATAGTCCAGGCCTCCTCAATCAGAATCTGAGTTGTAACCAGACTTCCAGGTGACTTGTACGCACCTCTCTTTTAGAGAGGTTTTTAGCACTGTTTTTAAAATTAACTTTGGTACTAGAATTTATTAAGCGCATGTGAAATATTGAGTCTAAAACTGAACATTAGTTGTGAAATACATTTGAGCACAGATATTTAAAGAACATTTTGCTAGTTTTCAAATATCCTTCTTTTAAAACTTGTCTTTTAGAATTCATTCGTGAGAAACCAAAAACATAAATGTAAACCATAAATGAAGAAGGAATGAGCAGAGAGAAATTGTGACAAGAAACAGCCCACTACTTTGCTTAGAATTGCTATGATTTTTTTCTCTTTCTGATGTAGTCACAAAATCATTTTTTTTTTGGTACCAGGGATCGAACTTGGGTCCTTGCACTTGCACAGCAGGCGGCGAAACCACTGAGCTAAATCCCTGGCCCCACAAAATCATTTTTAAGGCGTACTAGCAAGAAATATTCTTGAAACTAGATTATTTAATATCAAGAATGCTAAATGAGACATCAGGCAATGTATAACAAAATCTACAGACCTTACATTCTTAAACTATAAAGGCATGAAGGATAGTAGTTTTCTACTTGACAAATTTAAAAAAACAAATTGAATAGATTACTGATTTCTAGTAGCTTGACCTCTTATATAGGTGCTATGAAGCTAACATAATACTCAGATACAATATTTTCTCCAAAAATTACTTGTGGAGAAGTTCAATTTTATAATCATAATGGATCCTTTGGTCTACAAATTCCCTGAAGTTGATCATCAAAAGTATTTTCTCAGCACTCTGGGAGGCTGACACAGGAAGGTTGAATGTTCCAGCCAAGGCTGGGCAACTTGGTGACTTAGCTTGACCCTGTCTCAAAAGAAAGAAAGAGCTGGTGATGTAGCTTGGTGCAAAGACCTTGAGTTTAATCCCCAGTAATGCCCCTCTCATGTGTATTCTTTCTGCAGCACACCTGGGAGTCCTTGACTCCAACAGGGGGCCTACAAAATTGTGAAATGCAAAATATGAAAAATCATATTTAAAGGAGCTGACATATCTTTCCCCTCATATAGGCCAAATATAAACACATTTACTCATGCATCAAAGCAAAATAATGAGATAACCAAAGTCTGTAAAGAGCCAGCTTAGGAACTCCTTTCATTAACCTTACAACAACCAAGAAAGAATTATGAATGGGCAGTTTCCGGAGCATGTTTTTTTTTCTTGCCATCTGGTGAGTCTCACCAAAGTGAGCAGAAATTAAACACAAATGTTAATTATTATTTTCATTACCCCCTTTTCTCAAAGGAAGCTACCCTCTCTTACCAAAATGAAAATCTGGATTTAGAACATGCTTATTCTCCATTATCCAGGTGGCAGAGTTGACTGAACAGAGCAAACATAAAGGTAAGTTATGATGATTTTCAGGCAACACCTATGACTCAGTAATGTCCTGGGGCCGCAACATGGCTCACCTTGTTTGGGTCCATGACAAGGACAGTAAAATAGCTCGAAGTACCAAAAAGACAGTTCAAGACCGAAAAGCAAACAATAAAAAGAACTCTTCAAATCTCCAAAGCAAAGACGAGTGAAGTTATATCATTCTATATTTGGTGTTAAACATGGTAATATTGCCACGCAAAACAAAGCAACTACAGACTTGAGCAAAACCTACTTACACTCCCCACCCCAGCTAGGGAAAATGATCTTCACACACAGAAGTTTAGGTTCCACCTCATACCTACGTGGAATAGAGAATGGAAACATCAAAGCAGACTATAGGTCTACACAGAGGCATGAGCAAAATAGCCAACAGCTTCCTCCGATCACAGTTAAAACCAAGTGGTACTTTAAATTAGTAACAGTTGGATCTGCTCTTTTTCATCTGCTTGGTCCTAAAACCTTCCCTCTTCAGGGAATCAGCAGTGTCTCATAAGCACTTCTGACGAGAAGCACCTGCCTGTAGGCCCATCCTTGTCACTTGAAGTGCTGAGATCAATGGTTGACATTAGCCTCAGCCTTGCTAATGCTTGAGTCTTGTCTCTGTCATAGCAGAGTCTACACAGAACAGCAGTTCCTCTGCAAAGAATGCTGCTGGGGACCAAGGAAGCCAATGGACAAAGGGCACTAGGGATAGATCACTCTGAAGGAAACGCCACTCATCTCTCCCTGCCAGTGGCTGTGGTGGACACCTATCCCTTACCTCCTCATCAGAAGTTACTTTTGCAGCTATTCTTCCTTAGACACTGGCCACAATCCTTCCTCAAGGTTTGTTTTTTGACTTATCCCTTCATTTTCCAGTCACTAACTTTTGTACATTGTCCTTTGAAAAGTATTAAAAACTGAGATGGAGGGGAAAATGCAACCATCCTCAGAAATTGTCTGTCCCAGTTCCAAAGTAAGGAAAAGTACAGGGCCTGGTTCCAAACAAGATCTAAACACGACAGGTCAGATCATTTAAACATCTGTGGCAATTTTTTGCCTAAGACTTCCTCTATCTGCAAGCAATATAGAAAAGGCAAGAGGAAATGTTTAAGGAACAAGGTAAGGGAAAAGAGAGGGTGGCTGAGATAAGCAGAAGAGAAAGGTAAACTTTAAATTCTGTTGATTTGATTTGTTTTGTTTTGTTTTGGTACCGGGGATCGAACTCGGGTCCTTACGCTTGCAAGGCAGGCAGCAGAACCACTGAGCTAAATCCCCAGCCCTAAACTTTAAATTCTGGCAAACAGTTGCCACTAGCTAGTTTTCAGAACATCATAAAACATTCTGCCAGGTTCACGGCCAACCTGAACTCACCTTTGGTGTATTTTCCCTCCATCAGTCTTCCGGGTCCAGATTGGCTTCTTGTTGACCTCAATTCAAAAGCTGTAAAATAAATGAAGGAGTGCTGAGTGATACCTTGTAGAAATGGTGTTACGGAAGTTCAGAGTGTCACTTACTAGCATCATAAATAATGAAAGACCAATACATAATACATGGGAAAGAAGAGACACTTCTTATTGTCCCTTCATTTCCCTGGAACATTTTACATCCAGTACAAGGCAAAAACTGGATAAATATTTATCGAGTGGATGAATGAATATTCATGGTTTTGCAATTCCTTATTTCCTTCAACTTTTATGTAATGCAAATTATCTGTGTTTACAAAAGTACCTTGAAATGAAATTTGTTACAATTATATTTCATTGTTAAAACACTTTTAAGCCCCCTTTCCTTTAAAGTACAATTTCCTCAGATCATGCCCTAATTGCCATGTTAGAGGCACACGGTACGATCACTTTCATGTAATCAGATCAACAGCATGCTTTTCTTTACAGATAATACAGTATTATATAAGAACTATGAACTAAAGAGAGGAGGGTATGTACAATACTTTAAAGTAGGCTTTGGAAATAGCCTTCAATGAATATATATTATATTCTGGTTGTGTGTTTTGCAGATAGAACCATGATCACAGTGTAGGCCCTACCACTTGGGCACAAGTAGAAATGGTTGTTGCTTTACTTCTAAGTACTTTGTTTAAATATGTATGCACATAAGTTTACCTTTGGAAGTACATTTTGCGTGAATGGCTTTAAGTTTATGTTCTCCATTTTAAACAATTTATCAGGCAGACAACCAGAGCTTCAGATAAACTGCCACTGTCCCCACTGGCCAGCTCAGCGGTGCAGGTTAGAGCACCTGAGAGGACAGTGATTCTTCACAGAGGTGTCCTCCACTGTAAGCTCTTCAGGCGGAAAGGCCAGGTTACAGAAAGTACTCAAGACAGAGACACAAAGAGCTACCTTTGCAGAGGGACGAAGTGTGTCCCCAAGTAATCTCAGTATCTAGCCAAGATCTTCCAGAAGTGAGGAAAAGCCCCGGGGCCATGATGTGTCCATCTGGCCCCTTAATCCAAGTGGTTGCCATTCTTTTCCTGTGCTACTCAGGGGTGGCACCTGCTGCAGCTTCTGTGCCATTCGAAGGCCTCTTGCACAGTGTTGCCACTCCTTCTGGGGATCTGCCCTGTCACTGAGTCACTCAGCGTCTCTCCGGCTCTTCCCCCAGAGAAGGGCACGCAGTCCCTCCACGCCAGAGGATGCAAGGGCACCTGGTCCTCTGGGCTATTCTCCCTTCACTAGTTCTCTGCCTACACCATCTTCTTCTGGTGCTGACTGGAAGGAAGCGAAACATCCCCACCCTCCAGTTCCCAAATGTTTTTCCTATTTTTCTAAGGTTTTTAGAAGACACTGAAACATTATTTCCTTTTCACAAAGGAAAATGAACACAAAAGACTTTAGCTGCTTGAAGGAGGGGAGAGAAAATGAGAGTCTAAAGAGGAAAGTATCTAAAACCATCTAACTTTAAACACCATGAGGCCTTTTTTGTTCCAAGGCCAGAGCTAAAAATCAGGACCTGGTTTAATTTTTGCCTTTCCATAACCATCTACAAATTCTGGCATCAGCATCAGATGAGAAATATTCGCAGCATAGATTCTCAGGCCTGCAGAATCCCTAGGGTGGAACCTAGAAATCTGTGTTTTGTCTTATTTTATTTGGTACTGGGTATGGAACCCAGGGCCTTGCATATGCTAAGCTAAGCACATGCTCTACCTCACCACGTGCTCTACCTCTAAACTACATCTCAACCCCTAGACATCTTTTAACAAACTTCCAGCATTTTTCTTTTCTACTCACTCTGGTCCTCTGATCTCCTTTTGGGTACACTCCCTGGAAGTAATTTTCTTTCTGTTTCCTGTACCCTTCATCTTACCCCTGGAGTGGTTACCACCAGTTAAAGAACCTTTGGAACCAAAATCTGGTGTGTAGTTCAGTATCCATCTTTGTTTGAAAGGGAAGATTATGCAGCGGCCTGGAGGATGTTCATATGTCTAGTCTTCGTGGGGTTTTTTTGGTACCGGGGATCAAACTCGGGACCTTGTGCTTGCGAGACAGGCAACGGAACCACTGAGCTAAATCCCTGGCCCCATAGTCTTCGTGTTTTGTATCACGTTGTTATCATCCTTTAGTCTCCTGTGCATGTTTCAAGAAGATAATCTTAAGTCTAACCCACAACACATTAGACCATCCCAACAGCATATCTTCAACCTGTAGCAAGTACCAAAATGGTTCCCAGAGACTTAAATGCTGGTTGATTCTTGTGGAAAATCATCAGTATACATAGGCACCCCACTTTGCCAAAGTTTGAGGTAGAGAAGAAAGGACCTAAGAAATCAATTCCTAAAGTAGATAAGTTACAAAGAAACATTTTTTTTTAGATTGCTTGTTTTGATTTGTGTAATTTTTTGTTAAACCCTTCCTCATGTTACCTGAAAGGAACAAGTCACCCCTTTTTATGTGAATTTGGCTAGGTGTGCATATTATCAGCCCATTTAATTCCAAGGTAAGGTTAGGAGTGCTAAGCTAAATTGGAACACAGAAGGGTTATGTCCTACAGAGTGATGGTGGACATAATCATTCACATGGAATGATCGGGAAGACTCATCCCCCAGGGATGGCTGTTGATGTTGCTGAAGTCACCTATGTTTAGTGGCTTAACAAAAAGTCATGTATTGTCATTATGACATCAGAATACTCCTCCATATTAAATAACAAAGGGATAAAAAATGGGGAGGGGCACGGGCAGGCAGAAGAGCAGGTAGAAAAGTGAACTTCTTGGAACTAAACAAGCTCCAAGAATTGCTTCCTTTATTTCAAAAACTCCCTCACTTCAGACTAGGTTATTAAGACCCACCTCTTTCCTATAGAGTTGACTAAGCAGCAGCAGTACCTCTTCCGAGCTGATGATCTGGAAGTAGTGTAACTGATGCCAGCTGTCTGCCGAGCAGTCTGCTAAATGCCATAAATAAAGAAAATCATTTTTCTGAATAGAATGTCTTTTTTTCCTAAAAGGCTGGTACAGAGATGGAGTTAGGAACCAGAGAAATTGCAGACTTTGTAAGTTGGAAGAAACTGCCAAGCTCTCTTTTGCCAGCCTCACAGCCAACTTACCCAATTTATTTCTTCAACTTCCCCTGTAAACGCCTGTTTTATTTGGACTTCAGTGTATCTGGGAATGGAGCCCCATGCTTCCTGAGGGGTGGAGGGTGGTCCCAGATGGTGACAGCTGCTTTGCTGAGCGGGAATCAGGAGCAAGGCTGCACCTTGGTGAGCTCCAGGGTCTGCCTGGGCACCTAGCCGCCACGGACTTGAGCCTCAGGAAGGCTCCTCAACAATTCTTCCCAAGTGTGCCCTTGGCAAAAAAGGTCATCTAGCTGGGCATGGTGATGCATGTCTGTAATTCCAGCACTCTGGGAGGCTGAGGCAGGAGGATTGTAGTTCGAACCTAGCCTTGGTGACTTAATCAGACCCTCAGAAAAAGGAGCGGAGGATGTAGCTCAGTGGAAAGGGTTTCTTTTCTTTTCTTTTCTTCCTTTTTTCCCCGCTCTGGTGCAGGGATTTGACCCAGCACATCGCACATTTTAGGTAAGGGTTCTCTCACCGAGCTACATCTTCACCACTTTTTACCTTTATTTTGAGAAGGCCTTGCCAAGTTGCCCAGGGTGGGGTTGAACTTGCAACCCTCCCTCCTCCTCAGCCTCCAGGGTATCTGGGATTGCAGTATGCATCACCCACTAGCGAGGCTAGTTCTAGTGTTGCTTTACACATTTCTACACTAGACAAAAGACCTTATTGTTGCGTGGTTTATCCAACTGGGAATAATTTTTCCATTTTATTATTTTAAAAAATTTGAAGCAAAACATTTATTGGCACCTTTTAGATATATGCAATGATAACAGTCATCGTAGGGAATTTTTCCCCATCCCGCCTCACCCCCTCCCTCCCTTATATACAAAGCTTTGTTTCCATTTTTCCTTATATTTTCTTTTTTCTAGTACCTTCTTTCCTTTTCCCCTTCCCAGTCCCTTGTTCTCCTCATTTGAACATTTTATTTCCATTTACCAATATCTATTACACATTTTAGTCCTTATTTGCACTTTGGGTTTTTCACACCAGAGAAACAAAGCAGTACAATTTATTTTGCTTAAGAATATGGTCTCAAGGTGCAAGCATTTAACTATAAATGTCTCAAGCTCATCCTTCTTTATGGCAGAATAGTACTCCATTGTATAAAAATACCACATCTTCTTTATCCATTTGTCAGTTGATGGGTTGTTTCTGATTTAGCTATTACAAATTGTGCCACCAGAAACATGGGTGTGCATATATCACTGTGGTATAATACTTTTAATTCTTTTAGGAAGATACCAAGAAAGGGAATAGCTGGGTCAAATGGAACCTCTAGTTTTAGTTCTTTGAGGAATCTCCATACTGATTTCCACACACAGTGGTTGCACCAGTCTACACTTCCACCAACAATGGAAAAGGGTTTCTTTTTCCCTACAGCCCTTCCAGCATTTGTTATCAGTTGATTTTTTGATAATAGCCATTCTTTCTGAAATGAGATGGAATCTCAGCATTGTTTTAATTTGCATCTCAAATGAGGAGTGACACGGAACATTTTTTCACATATTTATTTGCTGTTTATACTTCTTTTTTCTTTTTTCTTTTTGGTACCAGGGATCGAACTCGGGTCCTTGTGCTTGCGTAGCAGGCAGCGAAACCACTGAGCTAAATCCCCGGCCCTGCTGTTTATACTTCTTCATCTCTTCACCTGAGAAGTATGTATTCATTTTAGATGCCCATTTTTGTTCTTTTTTTTTTTTTTTTTTTTTTTTCCAGGGATTGAACTCAGGACCTTGCACTTGTGCGGCAGGTGCAGCGCCACTGAGCTAAATCCCCGGCCCCAGATTCTCATTTTTGGATTGGGGGAGTAAAAGATTTCTACATTAAAAACTACAGTGCTCTGAAAAAGGAGATTAAAGAATATATCAGAAAATGGAAAGATATCCTTTATTCTTGGGTAGGAAGAACCAAGATAGTGAAAATGGCCATACTTCCAAAATTGATATACAGATTTAATGCAATCCTGATCAAAATTCCAACAGCATACCTCACAGAACTAGAGAAAAAAATCCTAATATTCACTTGGAACCAGAAGAGACCTAGAATAGCAAAGGCAATTCTGGGCAACAAAGGCAAGGCAGGGGGTATCAAAATCCCTGACCTGAAATTATACTACAAAGCTACTGTGATAAAAATAGGAAGATACTGGCAAAAACAAAACAAAACACACACACAAAAAAACATTGATCCTGAGGATCAGTGGAACACATTAGAAGATGTAGAAACAACTCCTGACACACTCAGCCACCTCATCTTCAACAAAGGAGCCAAACACCCTCACTGGAGGAAAGATAGCCTCTTTAATAAATGGTGCTGGAAAAACTGACTTTCCACTTGCCAAAGATTAAAACTAGGGCCAGGGATTAATGGCACCGTGCCTACCTCGTAAGCACAAAGTCCTGAGTTCAATCCCTGGTACCAAAAAAACCCACAAACACAGCAAAGATTAAAACTAGACCCATATCTCTCACCATGCACTAAACTAAAATCAAAATGGATCAAGGATGTAAATATTAAAACAAACAATCTGCTGGAAGATAGAATAGGTAGAACTCTCAGACATTGGTGTAGGCAAAGACTTTATGAACACAACGCTGATCACACAGGAACTATCACAGAGAATCAACAAGTGGGATCTCATTAAAAAGCTTTTGCACAGCAAGGGAAACCACCAACAGTGAAGAGACAACCCACAGTGTGGGAAAAAATTTTTGCCAGCTGTTCCTCAGACAAAGGTCTACTATCTAGAATATATAAAGAACTGAAAAAAAAATCAGACCCTTCCATTTCATTATTCATTCATTTATATTGAATATTCTGTTTCATCATAAGAAACTAAGGCCCAGAGAGCGTAGCCTATGTAGTCAAAGTCACAATGTGGTGACTTTGTGACAAATGGACATCTTCTGACTCCAACCCGTGTGTTTTGTACTATTTAGGGTGTGGTGGTATTTTTGTTCACTGATTTAAAAAATCTTATTCTTTATTAACAAACATCTCTTATTTCTCTGTTGTTGGTGGCAGCGAAGGATTGACAGCACCAGGATGACAGAGGTGTCTAAATACCACTTAACTCCAATGATCTCTCCTCAGATTTACATGTACTTCAAGGAAGAAGACTTACATTGGCAATTGATCTTGGGATACTAATAGTCCATGTAAAAAGAAAAGTAATATACGTTACACCTGTGTTATTACCTAGCCTCAAAAATAACTGAAGTGGTTCCACCACCTGCCTCGCAAGCGCAAGGACCTGAGTTCGATCCCCAGTACCCTCCCCCCGCAAAAAAAATTAGCGGGTGGAAACACATTGATAGCTTCCTATGGTCTCTGACCTTCTGGGACATCTCTGTTTCAAACTTTACATTGACAAAGTTCATTTTTCCTTGGGAGCCTCCATTAATCTGTACACTGGGGGTCACATACTTCAAATTCCTGCTCTGTGTGATAATGCTTCCAGTTGTTTGCCGTTGGCTGTCAAGCTTTCCAGGGTTTGTGACGGAGGCGGAATGTAGCAAGAGTCAATTGCTCTGGTTAAACACGGCAGGTTAATCATACAATTTTGTATCCTACCCACCTCTAAACTTACCATAGGTGGCAGCAATGAGGATAAAAGTATTCAGCCACTAGGGGAAAATAAAGAAACAAGAGACCATAGTGGACAAAAGATTTTATCACAATTTTGGGAGAGGAAAAGCAAAGACAAAAGAGAAACTCATTTAGCAGGGAGAAGAACTGACAACCTAAAGACAGGAGACAGTGTTTCTCAGAAAATATGAAGAGAACTCCAGGAGGTTCCTAGTACTGTGGAAAACTGGAGAGAGTGCGTGGCTGAAAACAGGTTGGGTTGTGTTTCCGGGTATACACTATTGATTTCTAGTTCCCCTGTCCTCCTCCTGGGAGGAAGGGACCCTTTCTCTAACCTTCACAGAAGTCACAGGCTCATTCTCCAGAGAATCAAGAAGTCCAGAGAAGGTCTGGTTCAATGTATTCATTTGTACAGTAAGTGTATAGAAAGAAGTGAATACCTCCAAAGTGAACATAGGTGAGACATAGCCTCTCCCCTACTCTTCTCCTAGAACAAACCCTACACTTACTTCCCCATACCTTCAGGCTACAGTGTTCTTTGGCTAAACAAAGATCCTTAGGGGAAAAAAAGGGAAGGCTATTTTCATATATTATGGTTATGGGTTTATTTGGATTTGTTTTAATCTTTTTATTTTGTTTATTCTGTTTTCCCTCTTTTCATCTGCTTTTTCTTGCCTGTTAACACATCGCCTGTTATCTCCCCCCATGCTTTTTTAGAGACACACTCTAGGTAATTCAGATAGGTCCTGAACTCACTATGTAGCCAGCCAGGGCTGGGGATTTGTTCAGTGGTTCCAGCGCCTGCCACGCAAGCGCAAAGTCCCAAGTTTGATCCCCGGTAGCAAAAAAACAAACTATGTAGCCCAGCTGGCCTTAAACTCGTGGTGCTCCCCCTTCCCTCAACCTCCCAAGTGCTGGGTTTATGGGCATGCATCACTACACCTGGCCTGGAAACTATATTTTCTTTTTTTCAGTGATTACTTTAAATTTTAACATGAATTATCTAAAATTGATCTGTATCTGTATTGCCCTCTAAGTCAACAGAAGTACTGTAGAATATTTCTACTACAATAAATCCTGTTGACAATTTGAGCTCCATTTAATTTTTATTACTTCCACACAGGTTTTGCTGATGCTCATTTAGATTTATCCACATATAGACCAATTTCTTTGCTCACCACCCTTATTCCTTCTTTCTGGATTTAATTTCCTCCTTCTTAAAGTACTACTTTAAATAGTAAGATTCTCTGATAGGTGGAAAATTCTTTTGGTCTTTGCCTAAGGTGTTATCATTTGCCCTCATCAAAAAAAATTATTTTTTCGTACCAGGGATCAAACTCGGGACCTTGCACTTTCAAGGCAGGCAGCAGCACCACTGAGCTAAATCCCTGGCCCAATTTTCAAATTTTTAACTTACTGGAAATTGAAATACAGATTGACACTTTCAGAATTTTGAAGTTATTCCATTGTCTTTTGACTTCTGTTGGTGTGTTTGACAAGTCTGATGTTAATCTGTCTTTCATTTATAGCTTATAGCTGTTCTCTGAATGCTTTTAACATTTATTTTTGGTGTTTGGCAATTTCATGTAATATGTCTAATTATTGACATAAAGTATTATCTCTAGGGACTTACTGCATTTTCTGAATCTGACAACTCATGGCTTTCATCACTTTTGCACAATTTTAAGGAATTATACCTTCTCCCTTTGACTTTCTCCATTCTTGCATGCTTTTCCTTTGATGTTCTTATTAGAGATATATTTGGTCTTAATCATTCTTCCCTTATCTCAGTTAACCTCTCTTCTGTATTTTCCTTCTTTATCTGACTGTGCAATGTTTTCAGTACTTTAAGTCTCTTCTACACTTACCTGTCTTTCTTCTTCAGAATCTATTCTGCTGTTAACACATTTTTTGAGCTTATTTAAGTGCTCTTAATTTTCATTTCCTCAAGTCCTTGGTTCTTTTTCTAGTGTCCCTGTTCTTACTGCCTTGGTGACTTCTACAAGCTAAGCCACTGCATGAAGGACTGTATGTCATCCACACTGAGTGGAGAACCACAGGGTAAAATGATTTGTAGGCAGGAATAAGACATCTGTTTAATATTAACATATACTATTGGATGGTTACTTATTTATCCAGTGTAAGAGATTTCATATGCAGTGTCCCCATGATCATGTCAACAACCCCATGGGGCAGACACTCACTAACCTCATTTGTATATGGGGAAACTGAGTCTTATGTGAAGGATTTGATAAGAACAAAAGATAGAAAGTGGTGGAGCTGGGCTTGAAGACTTTCATCAGAGTGTTAGGGTCAAAATCTTGTCAGAAGAAATGTAATGATGTGAGCCTTATTTTGAATTTTCAGCAGAAAAGGGAAAACTGCAGGCAGTAGCATTCTTTATTTTCCTAGTCAGCTTGGATACTTTTCTATCTGTGTTTCCTTTGCCTGGTGATATTCAGCCTGTAAAGAGATGAACCATAGCTGTTGACTGAAGGTTGAGGCATCTGTCAAATGGTTCCAGTGGAGGCAGGTAAGTAGGTAGGTAGGTAAGTTCTATTTTAAAAAATAAGTTTATTGTAGTGGAAGTTGCACAGTGTCTTCCTTACAGAGAGTACAAAAAAGGTAGCTTAATAGGGGAGAATCCTGAAACATCACCCCATTCAGGTGATTGTCACTATCAACAGTGAGAGCATGTTGAAAGCATGGATTCTTCAAATGTCATGATCTTTCCCATCACTCCAATCTAATCAGTCTGGAAAATATCAAACAAATCTAGTAGAGAGGCTTCTATAATATACTTTACTGCACTCCTCAAAAATGTTAAAGACCTCAAAAACAATTCAAGTTTGTTACTTCACAGTCGAGAGGAACTCAAGAAGGTATGACAAGATGTAATGTAGCATCCTGGATGGGATCCTGGAAGAGAAAATGGAATTAGGTAAAAAGTGAGGAAATCTAAATCAAGTGTAAAGTTGCATTGTGTGGGTATGATATAATCTTTATATGTATAGCATACATAACATTAATTTAAAATCATATTTTTAATGGAGGGTAGAGAAATAGAGTACTTGGAGAACAGAATGTTATGTAAATGTCAACAATGTTGTAAAGTTGTTTCCTGTCAGGAATAAAACCTCAGGTCTTCCAGGGCAGTTCTGTATCTTATACTGAATAACTCCTCTATTTAGTAAGTAACTTCCAAGTACCCCCGTGTACCTTTCTCTGCACTAAGCATTGGGAACATAGTGCTGCATAATATAGGCAGTAGCCCTGTCCTTACAGGGCAGGTAGTTTAGTGAGGAAAGAAACCAGGAAAAATAAAGATTATTTAATTATATCATTGACAGTGGTACAAAGAAGAACTACAGCACCTTCTGATCATGAACAAGAGAAGCCCAGTGTAGTCTGAGGGATTATCAAAGGCTTCTCAAAGGAATTTGTTCGAGCTAAGACCAAAAAGATGTATATCACATTTTACCAATAAAATAATCCCAACTTTGTCAGTATCTTCAGCAAAAAAACCCCTGTATTCACAAACTTTTCTTCAGTTGGCATTTTTATTCCCAATGTTAATCATTAATATTTCTTCCCTTAATAAGGAAAGATGTTTGGAGTTCCTGTTTTGAGCAAAGATATCAAACAGCCATGGACTTGTGCCTCTCATGAAGCAGATCTGAAAAGAAATGAGAAAATATAAGCAAAATTAAGTTTATAATAATTTTTCTCCACCAACAATACTAATATAGTTTTGGTCCTATTTTTAAGATATCTTCATTTTATTTTATTTTATTTTTCTGGCACTGGGACTCAAACTCAGGACCTTGTCCTTGCCAGGTAGGTGTGGCACCACTGAGCTACATCCCTGGCCCTCAAATATCTTCATTTTAAATAAATATTCTCATTATGGGACATAACATTGGGTTACAACAACACATCCCATAATTTTGTTTTTTGTTTTGGTCCCGGGGATCCAACTCAGGACCTTCTGCTTGTGAGGCAGGCAGCACCACTGAGCTAAATCCCCAGACCACATCCCATAATTTTCTACTATAAATTTGTATTTTAGCATAACAGTAGCTGGCTATGTGTCACAGTAGCTGCATCTGGGGCATATAGGAAGCAATCTTTGTGTTTACTCACTTGGTACGATGAACGGCAAGGTGTATGCAGTGTGCTAGTGTCAAACCATGATTTTTCCCCACATAACGTTCCATCTAACAGGTTTTGGGTATGTTTACCTGAGGATCATAGGGGATAAAATATACCAACCACTCTTCTGTTATGAAAACATGTATTTTACCATAATGGAATGTGGGTGCAACTCACAGTAACTGCACCTGGGAAAAGCAAAAACTCATCTGTGCATTTATCCACTTGGCAGATGAATGACAATGTGTGAACAAGAGCTCCAAAGCAGCAAGAGGTGAGTTTTACCCATGAAATGTTCTAAATTTAGAATTTCTAGAATTGCTAAATTTCTGTGCAGTTAGGATTTGTTTTGAAAAAAGTTTTCTTTTGATTTTTCTGGTAGAAGTAGCAATTCAGTACAATGCCACATGAAAAACCAGATTTGCAAGTTTTGGAGAAGGTCAGAAGTGAATCATCAGATTACTCATGCATGGATGATGAAGATGATGATGAAAATAATGATGACTGATGATAATGAATGAAGATGATAATGATGATGTTGGCTATGTGAGCCAAAGTTCCAGTGACAGTGAAATGGAGCAAGAATCGGCTGATACATACAAAGGGAATGGAGACCTTCTTGATTCAGATGACAAAACAGCAGTGTGAGTACATATTTGACTAGTTGAAATGTTGCAAAATGTTCACACAACCAAGTAGAACAATCCAGTGTTAGAACTAGGTCTGGAAATATAGGATCTTGGCAGGGGTGAAACCTGTTGGACAGAATGCCAGCCCTGCCATTCAGTGTTAGAAACTGTAACAGATGAAATACTACAAGATGTTGTGAAATACACAAAGGCTGAAATATACGTAAAACATTTTATATGCACCAATAGCCATATTCAAAAATGTTTATTATGACACCTCATTAGCTGAACTGAAAGCATTCGTAGGTCTGCTGTACTTAGCAGGGATTTCTCAGAGTAATCACAGGAATGTAAAAGACTCATGGAAAAATGATGGGTCAAAATATGGCATAAAAATGTATGCCCTTGTAGATGTGAAGACATTATGCTTTCAGTTTAGAAATTTATCTTGGAACTAAGCACTAGGTCCTTATTCATATAGTAATAAACTAAATGATGTTGTGAACAGTCTTGTTGCTCCCATCTCCCAAACTAATCAGAATGTGACATTCAACAATTGGCTTACCAGTTTCCAATTGACATTACATTTGCTAACAGTTGACTAGCATAGGAACTGTATGCAGGAACAAAGGAGAAATTCCAAACTAAACGTTGCAATTTCAAAACAGAGAATTGTATAGTACAATCTTTGGACTTCAGAAAGATTTACTTTGGCTTCATATATGGCAAAGAAAAACAAACTGGTACTACTGATGTCAGCATTGCACTATGATGGAAATGATAGGGAAACCTTGACAAAAAGAAGCCTGAGATGGAAACTTTCTATAACAAAACCAAAGACAGAGTAGACGTTAGTGAATTATGCAGCAACTACAGTATCACTTGAAACACAAAGCATTGGCCAATGGTTGTGTTTTACTCCATCCTAAACATGTGTGGCATAGTTTGATAGTTTACAAAGAAAATAACAAGTGCAAAATATCACAGAATTTTCTTAGAGGATTGGAACTGGAACTCATAAGAGATCATTTACAGCAGAGGAAAAGCAAAATTTTTCTGCCCAGGGAACTACACACAAAAAAAGGTTGTGGAGTACACTGGTGAGCTGACAGATGAACAGGCAGGCACAGGATCACAAAGACCTACTATAACAACACGAAAACCAAAAATATCTCAACTGTGCCCTACAAGAAAGGACAGGAGAACAAAACATAGGTGCTCTCAGTGTGACACTTGTATATGGAACATTCAGCTTACATGTGTTAAGACTGCCTTGAGTGTGATAGTTGAAGCAAAGATTATTTCTGTGGTAGACATTTGTATTTACATTGTAGTCCACATAGGTTTATATTTCTGATGTTGCCAGATTTTGTAAGCAAGTAAACAGCTGATGTGAAAATCTTGATGCCTATTCTAAGCACTCATTATGTACTTGATATTTTATATATTGATCTTATTTTCCTGCTAAGTGCACATTGTACAATATAGTAGGAAGCTGCTGCCAGAACAGGAAGAGAGATGACAAGAATGTCCTGCCATATAGGAAAGGAAAGCTAGGAACATGTGCTATCATTGCAAGCAAGACGTGTGCATGGAGCATGCAGTTGTCATGTGTGAAGATTGCCTTGGGTGGGACAGTTGAAGAAAAGATTATTTTTGTTGTAGAATGCTATTGATATTTCATTTTAATTCATAGAGGAATTTCTGATGTTATCTTTTAGGTTTTGTGAGAAAGTACAGAGCTGTTGTGAAAATGATGTTTATTATAAACATACAGTACATATTAAGAATTTAATTTTATTGATATTTTATGTTCCTGTTAACCACCCATTGTATAATATAATAAGAACCTCCTGACAAAACAGCAAGACCGGTGAGATGTCAAGTATGTCCTACAAAAAGGCCAGGAAAGTAAAACACATGTGCTGTCAGTGTAAGTGATATGTGTGTATGGAAGACGCTGTTGTCATGTGTGAAGACTGCCTTAGGAGTGATAACTGAAGTAAAGGTTATTTTTGCTGTAGGGTGCTATTGGTATTTTCATTGTAGTTCATATAGGAATTTATTTCTGTTGTTCTTTAGAGTTTGTACGCCAAAAAAGTCAATGTTGAAAATTTTGATGCTTTTTTATAAACACTCAATAAATATTAAAAACTCAATACTTTATTTTTTTGGTACTTTTTTTCTGTTAATACTCATTCAATGTAATAAAACTCATAAAATTAATAAGTCATCAATAGAAATATTCTAAAGAATAAACAAGGGTATTATACGTACGTTTCTGCACCATTATGACAAAATTGGCATTGTGCCTCATGGGCTGTATTAATATCCTCATTTTTCCATCAAATGTGGCTTTCCCTCTCATCCTGTTTATGAATTTAAAAATTTAGGTTGAGTTGGATTTTTATATTCAGTTACAGGTTCCTGTTAGCTTGCTTTGTTCCATGGCTTCAGCTATGTCTACACATCATTTTACAGTCCTCTTTTCCAAAGGAAGAGCCCGATTCTCCTCCTCTGTGGGAACCTAACTTCAGGATTTCCCTTCTAAAGTCTAATGCATGCAGTGTAAAGGAAGCAAGTGAGATTTCTGAGAGGAGGTCATAAAAGGCCTTGTGGCTTTTTCTTCTTTTAAGACAGGGTTAGGCAGTTCAGGCTGTCCTTAATTCACTGAGTAGCCCAGGCTGGCCTCGAACTCACAGTGATGCTCCTGTCTCAGCCTCCTGTGGGCTGGGATTAGAGGCATGACCTCACCTGGCATGTGGCTGCTTTGCTTGAACCACACACTTTAGGGAAGCCAGTAGCCGAAGCACCAGCTTGCCAGCTGTGTGGACAAACATCCTAAAAGTGGACCCTCCATGTCCAGTGAACCACAACTCTGGCTGATACTGACTACAGCTCATTACAGATTGGAGCCAAAACCACTCGCTTACCCGCACTTGAGTTTTGGACCCATAGTAATGGTGTGAAGTCAGCTGGATGTGGAATCCCAGGACCCTGGGAGGCTGAGGTAGGAGGATTGCAAGTTCAAGCCTATCTTGGGCAACTTGGTGACTTAGTGAGACCTTGTCCCTAAATAAAATACAAAAAAGGGCTGGAGATGTAGCTCAGCAGAAAGGCCCTGCCTTCAATCCTCAGTACTGACAGTGTGAAATGATAAATTTACTGCTGTTTTAAACTGCTATGGGTAAGAGTAATCTTTTATGCAGCAATAGATAACCAATAGTGTCTTTCTTATAAAACTATACCATTGCATATACAAAGACTACCATAAAAAAATGGGTAAACTGTCAACCCCATGTAAAATAGCCCTGAGTAAAAAAGTGGTAACGAGGTTAGATATTACGTCCTCATTCCCGGTGATTTTTTTCTTCCTGGCACTTGTCACAGCTAGGTATTTTCCTCTAATGTTTGTAAGTAGGCTTGGTTTATTTGCAGTTAACCACATACTGGATATATTAATGCACATTCAACAAGGGTGCTCAATCACACAAAGGTGTGGCTCTTCAAGCTGATGGGTTTTTCTTCGACTGAAAAATCTCAGGAAAAGTGGTCCACTGTGCTGTGATATCTGCAAATCTGCTGCTGATCAAGGAAAAGACAAACAGCAACAAACTTAAGGCTATCTCCATGGTTTAACTCAGACACTGAGGAGACGGAGGCCCAAAATAACTTCTCACAGCTGTTATAACTGTTTTCCAGTTTTAAAATTAACTAGTGCAAAGCATTTTAGATATTGTGAAAGGGTCAAATGGCTTCACACTGTGCTGAAACCAAAATGGACCGATTTTTCCTACCCAAATTGATCTTTTGTCCAAGAGACTCCAATTTCAAAACTTACCTCTTTCTTCATATAATGCCCTCTGTTGTATTAATCAGCATCCAGTGTCTTCATGCATAGGGTCCCTAACGGATGCAAAGGTTTCTTTCCCAGGATGCTGAGAAAACCTATGACAAGCTGTGGTCAGTTGGGCTCAGATGTCTGTGAACAAGACACCACAGGTATCTTCCAGAGCTACGGTTTTCTAAGTGTGAGAAGTGTAATCACCGACGCTGGCAGCCGAGCAGCCTCCCCATGTTGATTTACTGAGAATACAGAGGTGGGTGTATGTCCCAGAACAGTGGGAAGACCGAGCTTTACTTGTACGCCAGGTCCGGGACACAGTGACCATTACATGGTGCTCAAATCTATAATTTTTTTCCTCCCCTCAGGGGATTAGAGGCAAGTGACAAACAGATTAAATTTAGACTTTGGACTTTTGCTTTCACTCCTGTCAGCAATGTTTCCCACTCTGAAAGGGCAGTTCTTGCCTTCCGTCCTTCCAGTGGAGCCTTCTAGGTTCTAGGCTCCTCACCAGCAGGAGGCTGCACAGCCTCCAGGACATCTGGGTGGGAAGCTGCCAGCCTTGCACACTTCCTTTCTTCTGGGAGAAGAGAAAATCCAAGATGAACTGCTGGATATGAGAGATTAACTTTGCGTTCTTGTTTTATAATTTTGGAACTGGGTTCCACATTACAGAAAAACATGTGCTGCTGTTACTGTAGAAAGCTGAAGGCCTGATCCATGCTTGTATACTAGTAGCACACTCTTTTTAGGAGAGCAAGAACTTGTATTCAATTATACCTTCTATGACCAGAATGCTTTACTTTTGAAAAAAACTTAATCATGTAATTAGTTGCCTTTTTTCCCCAATGTTGTTCTAAAGCTTGAATATTGTAATTTGAAAAGTAATTGTTGGCTGAGGCAGTATAATTTAGAAGACAGCATCTTCCTCTTGCCCAACCCTAAAGGCATTTTTATAAACAGTTATTCTTCCCATAAGTCAGCACCACAGCAATGCGACTATATTTTTGTTATGATAAAATGTGTGTCCAAGTGACTATTAACAAATGCGATGACACTGGTAATATTGCACTTTGGAAAAATAACTGTTAAACACACGCCTAGATTGACCTACTTAATAAAATGTGTCCTAAAGCCAGTTCTCTTAGTCATCACAACAAATGATGGTATCAGTGTCTGGATACCACTCATCTCACACTGGGAAGAGAAATAATATTTTTGCTTTGTGTCTTGAACTGTATTTTCAGTTATCATTGTTTATTTAAACATTAACCAGCTGCTTTCCTCTCCCTGACCCTGTTATATAAAATTCAGCTTAAATATTGCTGCCCTCCAAGTCTATCTAAGTTACATTTCTGTCCAGAGCAGGCTAGATCTAATTCTTGGTAACTTCAGAAAGGCTCTTGTGAACACCTGAGATTTTTTTCTGAAAAGATTCTGTAATAATATTGTTTTTAGGTAACACTTTCACAGTAAGCTAACTTTAGCCACTATTTCACAGGTAGCAAAGGCCTGCTGGGTGCTGTAAAGATTTGTTTGAGTGTCGTGAACATGGCAACACACCATGTCCTATCTGCACTTAGAACCCCTGTACCCCCCAATGCTGCTCAGCCTGGAACTCGTGAGACTCCCTACATCAGACCTCTGAAAATGCCCAGTCCTTTCTGCAAGTGGTCCGCCCCTCTGGGACATGTCACCGGGCCAAACACAGAGAGGACAGCTGGGATCCGTCTTTGTCACAACTCCATCATTAACCTGTCTTAGCTTCTCATGCGTCAAGCACTTAACAGCAGTAGTACTGCTGTCATCTGTGCTGTCAGATGAAATTATAATAAATACCAAATGTTTGAAAAAGTCCCTGGTAAACCCTCAATAAATGTTAGCTGATATTGTTTAATGCAAATATGGTGACTTGGATCTAAAAGTAACGGCACAGTTATTGCAGACAAACAATTGATGTTTTAAAATCTGAATTAGACAGTTTGTATTCTAAAACACACACACAAATCTGTACCAATTAAATACAATAATGTTGAAAGGGGATATAAATTACAGTTTTCTTTTTTTTAAACAGACATAGTAAAATACTACAGTCAGCTCACTATACACAAAAATCATGAACAGCAGCTTTTCAACAAAGTCTCCAATATCTCGCTCACTTAGCAATGCTCAAAACTTAAAGAAAAGGTACAGCAGGCTGTACACATTCTCTCACTCTTCCTTTCACAACACATTTACAGTTTACATCCACTCCAACTGTACAGGCATCTACAGAATAGGTACATAAAGTACTTTTGTAAAAATTTCCATACGATTCTACATCTCCACTTGTAGAAGAATTTTACAAATGAAGACAGGACAGCAGGGACTTCTGTGTTCAACCATCTCCTGCAAATGTGATATGTGCACTGGTGAACTTCCTAGTTCAGTCCATCTCATCAGCATTTTTCAGAATCAAGCAAAACAACAGCAAAACCACACTGCAGAGAAAGCTGCCAACCCCAAACAAACCCACAACCCCCACCCCAGATCCCCCAGCACCCAACCCCAACCCCTGGTACCCTCATGTCTGCTTAGCGTAATACTGCTCCTGCATGCACCTGCCTGGCTGGGCTGAACCAAGTATAGGAAACGCTGGCCTCGAGGCAGAGCCCATCACTGTCACTGTTACAATACAGTGTCTTCAGTAGGTGTTGGGCCAGGTGGAAGACCAAAGACTGTAGCTGTGGGATTTCTTAGTGTGCTTAGGACACAGGACAGAGAACCGCAGTGAGTGGCCTGGTAGCCAAGGAAGTATTGGCACCAAACTTGAAGTTAAACATCTATGCTCACACAAAACAAGAGTGGACAGCAAAGACGTTCAGTTTCGTGGGAGTTCTTTGGTTATAAAGAACAGCATTCTATAACCCTTCTATAAAGGGGAATTTGCGACCTCATTCTTGGGCAATAAAATATTTTTCATCTGCTCATATAGAAGTGATCACTCAAGTTGCTTTGTAAAAGTCCAGTACCTTAGGATTTTCTATGAATCCCTTTTATCTGCATTTTAGTGTGCAGCTGTGTCTGTCTCCGGACATGCCATAGATACGCATTTCATATACATAATATATATTATTTATAAAAAACATTAGAGCATTGACTCCAGATTCTACAGTAAGAACTGATTAAAACTGTACAAGAATAAAGTTTGTTTGAAATCTGTAGAGGTTTCTCCACAGTGTAGCTGTGTAGTAAGTGCAAACGAAAATACTGTCACTTAGTTAATCCAAGATTTCAGTTCTCTTGCTTTCTGGAAAAAAGCAGAGGCTGTGATTCACCCAGTGAGAAAGTGCTGCCTCCCGCCGGGGAGGGGAAAGCGCCTGGCTCTCCGTGCTGGTCTGAGGTCCGGCGGGGCTGCAGCATGTGGCAAGGTGCTGGTGGGGCCGGCGTCTCCCAAAGCGGCCACGCTGGGGCCAGCAGAGCAGGTGCCTGCTACTTTTCACCTTGAGTCCGTGCCTCCCTGGAAGGCAGAGGCTGGTGAGTCTGGAGTCTGGGCTCTGGGCTCCGGGCCCCATTACCCCCACCCCCCCGGCCCAGCCTGAGGGACTTTCAGGCCTGCATTTATTATGGAACCCACTTCTGGAATTCACAGTATGCAAGGGAGAAACCCAGCCCTGAGGTGAGGCTCCTAGGGAAAGTGTGACGGTACGATCCAAAGTTGAAGTTTAAATAACAGTTCTTTCTGGAGCCATGTTCTAAGTCATTTCAGGCTTACAACTAAAGTCTAATTTTAGTACTTGCAAAGTTCTCAGACAGACTTTAATACTGTCAAAACAACTTACAAAAACCAGTGCAGAGGCTGGGGGTGTAGCTCAGTGGTTGAGCACTTGCCCAGTGTGTGAGAGGCGCTGGGTTTGATCCCCAGCACCACAAACAACAAAGTAACCACAGCAGAAAACCAGTGTAACAAAAAGAAAATCTCTATAATTCCATTATCTGATGCAACAAACCTTTCTGCAGATTCCACTTTTGTTGTTGTTTTGTTTTTGAGACAGGGTCTCTCTTTGTAGTTCAGGCTGGTCCTGAACTCACTATATAGCCCAGGCTAGCCTCAAACTCTCGGTGATCCTCCTGTCTCTGCCTCCCGAGTGCTGGGATCACAGGTGTGCAACACCATGCCCGGCCAGGTTCCACTTTTATTTTTTTGGTACCAGGGATGGAACTCAAGACCTTGTGCTTGCGAGGCAGGTGCCATGCCACTGAGCTAAATCCCCAGCCCAAGATCCCACTTTGGAACCAAGTTTTCTGCCAGGGACACACTGCTCTGGGACCTTTCAAAATGCTTCCTATCAGGTTTCTAAACAATGTAGACAAAGAAACAAGAGAGGCTTGTTGCCCTCTTCCCCCTTCAGTGGCCATGACACCAATCTATTCTTTCACCTACGATGGTTTGCAAAAACCCAGTTTCCCCTGCTCCATTTAATATGAAGCAAAACCTTCTTCGGGTGGGAGGAATTTTTAAAGAGCCTTTGATTTTTAAGAGGCACCTTCCCCATCAGTGCCTAATGAGTCTTTGCATAACTTAGGTTCCATGAGAAAAGCTAATTCTTAGGGTGAAGAATTAAAGAGGCCTTGCTTTTGCTTTTTCTGAGACAGGGTCTGGCAATGGAGCTCAGGCTGGCCTTGAACTCTCAGGGATCCTCCTGCCTCAGCCTCCTGAGTGCTGCAAGTATAGGTATGCACCACCACACCCAGCTGACTGCTTTTTCAACTGAAAAGCCAATGCATGCGGCCTACGGAAACCTTCAAAATCAGCATAAAGGAAATGGAAGACTTTTACACAAATTCATGTTTCACCTGCAAGAGCAAAGGCAAACAAAGCAATGAGTCACTTCTTTGTTTCTTTCCTTCTTTCTCTCCTTTCTTCTTGCTTCTTTCTGTGGTACTGTTAATCAGACTCAGGGTCTTGCATGTGCTGAACATGTGCTCCAACACAGCACTTCCCTCCCAGAATCACCCCCCATAGTGGGGATCAAACCCAGGGGTGGACTAACACTGACATACATCCCCAGCCCATCGTGAGACAAGGTCTCACTAAGTTGCTCAGGCTGGATTCAAACTTGTGATCCTCCCGCCTCAGCCTCCCTCAGTGCTGGGATGACATGCCTGTGCCATCACACCTGGCTCCCTATTACTCTTATATTGGGGAAATACATCTTTTTTTAGGGCTGGTATGGAAAACAGGGAAAAATGTAGAAAGAAAATTCCCCCACCCCAATAACTTCCTCAGCAAAACAGAGGGGCAGAACTGCATCCTGTCTGGTTTGGTCAGCTCTTTGATCTTCTAAGCCATGGCTCTCCTGTGACCTACACAGGTGTGGGACCAAAGTAAGCAAATGTGAATGGGAAGAAACGGTGGTGCTTAGGAATGGAATATTTGTAAAAGCTGATAATCTCTTATTTACACAATTCATTTTTCCTCAGCAAAAACCTATTTTGTCCAACAGAAAAATTAAACAGTAATATAAACCCGGCTGGGCAGCATTCAAGGCCCAAACCTCAATGGTTCAGGAAATTCATCTATAACACCTTACAAAGCAGTTTTTCACTGTGTGCCCCGAATTATTGTATCTTATTAATTCTACGTTATGTTTTGTCTCCTCACATTTTAACATCTCTGAAAGTGAGGTGTCTTACAACTGCTGTCAGAATTTTTTGCAGTGCTGGTGATGAAACCCAGGTTCTAAAGTACATACCCAATGTTCTATGGCTGGGCTACACCCCTAGCTCAATGTTTTTTCTTTCTTAATGACACATAAAATAATGAAGTATATAAGAATAATCCAAGGGATGACAGATTTGATGAAATATGGTAGCTGCTACTAGATTACTTTGTGATAGCCAATAAACATCTCAGGGAGGGCCGGGGATTTAGCTCAGTGGTTCTGCCGCCTGCCTTCCAAGCGTAAGGTCCCGAGTTCGATCCCCAGTATCAAAAAAAAAAAAAATCAGTAACATCTCAGGGAATGAATATGGGTTTAATTTCTTTATCCATTTGAATGCTGAATTCATTACCAAGCCCTATACCAATTTAAAAACCCACTGGTCCTTAAGTTAGGACCATAGCTCAGTGATAGAGTGCTGCCTAGCATGTGTGAGGCCCTGGGTTTAATCCTCAGCATTGTGAGAAAAAAATTCCACTGGTCCTACAGATTTCATGGTTCCACTCAGGCTGCCACAGATCTGCGCTCCCACAGTAAGCGGGCTGGACAGTGGTGAGCTTGCTCTCCAGTGGGCCCATCCTCTCTATAAGAAACAGGAAGATGAATATTTCCTCCTACGTCACAGTGCTGGAGGGCTTCTAGGGGTTGGTGTACAATTAGATATGCTCACCGATGGCACAGAGGTCAATACTGCCTCTGGAATTTATTACCTGGTCATTCTCTAACTTGGAATGCCGCTCGCTCATCAGTGTCCTGTGGTCTGCCTGAAACACTCTTCCTGTCTGTTCTATTTGGTAGGTTTCTTCTACTCAAAGGCTCTCCAGCAGAAGAATCTGTCAAGCCATCAAAATCTTTCTCCTCAGACACTCCCATGAACTCTGTGAAGGAATGATCCTCAAGAATGTTGGTGGTGCGTTCTACAGTCACCTCCCTCGCGCAGAATTCTTGGGCTAGCTGGCCATTTTTGCTGTGGCAGGCATCCAGTTCGGAACATGAAGCTGTCCTACAGAACATTCTGGAGTTCTCAGGGAGACTCTGGGACGATGGGCTCCCTTTGGCTAAGGCACTGTTTTCCTTGAATGGCACCATGATTATCTTGTCTTTCCCCAAGCCTCCGTCTACTTCTGTCAACTCTCTGTTTGAGGATGGCCTGAAATCATGCACAAGTGGTGGTCCGGAATGTTCGCTGGAGTCTGCATCCTTTGTCTGAGTGGCTAGCTGATCTGAGCTGTCACTAGTAGGGACCACCATGTCTGACAGAGTGGCATTGGAGGCACTGTGGGAAAAGTAGCCACTGGTGATACTGCTGGTGGTAGGGCTACGAGATACTTCTTTCTCCATGACACGTGAGTTTGTCAGATCTACTTTAGAAGAAAACCATTCCCTGTTCTCCAAGCTGGCATTGTAAACACTGAAGTCAGCAAACTCCACAGGTATATAAGGCCGTGAACTTATCAGCTTCCGGTTAATAGCTTCCAGCTCATTTTCTTCCTCCTCTGAGTCCTACAGAAATAAAACAAAAGTCAGTCATTAACTTCTTAGAGCAACTGTATTATTGAGATAAGATTTAAATACTTTACTATGATAGGCATTCACACTCCTGTATTTTTTTTCTTTCTTTCCAGCTTTAGTCAAAGCTTGCCACCAATTGTAGACACAAGAATATTATTCTCAGAGACCTGTGAATATAAACCCATTATCACGTAATAGGAAGGTATTCTTTTTCCCTTCTATGCTCACTCAATGCTAATTAAAGACTTTCTTCCCTGGTTTAAGACAAGGGATGGAAGTGAAGTGCAGAGGACTTTTAATGGGTTTCTCAAGATTGGTCTCAGTGTCCTTGTTTTCACTAAATGAGCAGAGAGCTGGAGGCAGAAGAACCGGTCCTTCCTGTGGTCTTGCGATCTTCCCCTTGGGAAGCCAAGTGCAAGAGGCGAGGTCACTTTCGAAAAAGTTCTGAGTGGTTTTATCAGGGGAGAGGAGGGAAAAGAGACCTCCAACAGCCAAAGGACAGAGTACACAACTCTGACACTCATTCTTAGTGCTCCAAGTATTGCAATCCTGTAAAATGCTAACAATGTACTACTCTTTTCTAGGATATTTTTTTTGGTACCAGGGATCGAACTGCTTGCCAGGCAGGCACAGTGCCACTGTTCTAGGGGTTTTTTTGTTTTGTTTTGTTTTTGGTACCAGGGATCGAACTGCTTGCCAGGCAGGCACAGTGCCACTGTTCTAGGGGTTTTTTTGTTTTGTTTTGTTTTTGGTACCAGAGATTGAACTCAGGACCTTGCACTTGTGAGGCAGGCGCCGGAACCACTGAGCTAAATGCCCGGCCATGTTCTAGGGTTTTTAAGGAGAGGATTTGGCTAGAAAATAAGAAGGGTGATAATAAGGTTTAAATAAAAATGTGCACTATAACCTTGTTCACAAAAATGGGTAAATATACAAAAGCGAGAATGATTCACTCTTCAGTATCTCTCCAAACAGAAGATTTAAAAATAATATTTGGTGGAAAATACAAAATATTTGGGGTATCTCATGTTCAGATACAGATGTGATATAGTAACTAGTCCCTTTTAACTGGACTCATCAATACTGGATGGCACTACGGACACTGGTTTTAGGCACTGGACAGTTTCCTGAGCATCAGTCAGGCAGCGTGTTTGTTTCCATACTGACTGCCCGCATGTCACTCGGGCAGTTATTTCAATTAGTTGATCCCTGTATGGAATACATTTGATATGTTGTCATTTTTATATTTCCTGTTATATAATCTTATAAAAATCAATGAAAAAAATGTAGTGTTTGGTCCTCCTGTATTTAAATAATTGGACTGTAAAAAGTGACTTTCATTCATGGAAATATCACCCACCCACCAAGTGCCTGCGATTGTCCTGAGGATCTGGGGATATGAGAGAACAGAGATATGGGAGAACAGAGATATGGTGCCTCCTTCAGGAGGGGTTGCTTTTAGAACCATTCTGAGGGCTGGGGATTTAGCTCAGTGGCACTGCACCTGCCTTGCAAGCACAAGGTCCTGAGTTCAATCCCTGGTATCAAAAAAAAAAAAATCTAGAACCACTCTGAACTCTGGTTGGGTAAGTAAAAATTTCATTCAGAGTAGAACCTAAAAACATCCAAAATAGCTCTTTCTTCTGGTCATCTGGTTTAACAAGCTATTTAAGGGCTGGGGATTTAGCTCAGTGGCACCACACCTGCCTTGCAAGCACAAGGTCCTGAGTACCAAAAAAAGAAAAACAAGCTACTTTTCTTTCTTTTTTTTTTTTTTGGTACCAGGGATCGAACTTGGGACCTTGTGCTTGCGAGGCAGGTGCCTGAACCACTGAGCTAAATCCCTGGCCCCAAAACAAGCTATTTAAAATGTCTGTACAATTATAACAATGAGGCAACCGTAAAAACCTGGATCCCAAACCCAAGGGCAGGGAAGACTGTGGATGTGCATGTGCAAAAGAGATCGCCACAGTGTGGCAGATGGCTGTCCACAAGTGAATATAAATTTCATCTCTTGATCTTTTTTTTTTTTTTTTTTTTGGTACCGGGGATCGAACTCGGGTCCTTGAGCTTGCGCAGCAGGTGGCGAAACCACTGAGCTAAATCCCTGAGATCTCTTGACTTTTACAGTAACTTTGTTTTTTGAGATAGGGTCTTGCTTTGCAGCGCAAGCTGGCCTCAAACTCCTGGCGATCCTTCTGCCTCAGCCTCCTGAGTGCTGGGAATACAAGTGTGCACCACCGTGCCCAGCTAGAGTAATATTTCCTTTTTCATTTTATAAGATGCTAAGCACCTCAAAAATAGTTTAATATTTTTCAATGAATATTCTTCACTTTAAAAAATAATTTATATAAAAAAAATTTATAATAAGCCAGGCATGGTATGGAGGTGGACACCTGTAATTCTGGCACTCTGGAAGGGGAAAAAGGAAGGCTGGAGATACAGTTCAGTGTGAAGGCCCTACGGTTGCCAAAAAAAAAAAAAGTTTTACTTTTTGTGGTGCTGAGGATCAAACCCAGGACCTCAATGCATGCTAGGCAAGAATACCACCACTGATCTGTATCCCCAGTCTACATTTAGTTTTGATAATAGTTTTAAAACTATGTCTGGGAAGGGGTAGAGGAGTGGGAGGGCAGGGGAATGGGGAAAAAAATAAGAACCAAGTTATATCATGTAAAGGTGCAAATTCCCAATGATGAATGTCATCATATTGAATACCTAAAATGTACCAATAAACAATGAATTTTTAAAAATGTATGTCTGAGGGCTGGGGTTGCAGTTCAGTGGTAGAGCATATATTTAGCATGTGCAAGGCCCTAGGTTCGAACCCCCCTATCACAAAATTTAAAAAGTATCTATTAAAGGAATCAGAAGTCTTAATTTCTTGGCTATTAAAAAGTGAATGTCAAGTAGCAGTGATAAGTTCCTAAAATTAGCAAAACAAAATATTTGACACTAATCTCATCCATCTTTAGTTTAATTTAGTTTAGTTGTCTTCTAAATTAAGTAAACTGTTGAAAAAGAAATGAGTGGGAGAAACTGTTCTTTTTTTGTATGTTGGTAAAGGAGAAACATTGGACAGAACTGTCTGAATCAGCAGGCTTTGCCTATATTTTCTAAGTTCTCTACCTAACATGTTTAGATTAAAAATTGAATTTCTTTTCTTTTCTTTTTTTTTTTTAATGGTACCGGGATCGAACTCAGGACTTTGCACTTGCGAGGCAGGCAGCGGTACCACTGAGCTAAATGCCCAGCTAAAAATTGAATTTCAGTCTGCCAGGGATTTAGCTCAGTGGTGCTGCCGCCTGCCTTGCAAGTGCAAGGTCCCGAGTTTGATCCCTGGTAGAAAAAAAAAAATTGAATTTCAAATGTTTGAATTGTTTGTATTTCCTTTTATTTAAGCTGCCAAAGTAACAGTTCTCCAAGCCTATAGTACCTGATGCAATTATTTACTAAAGAAGTATTTGTTTCAAAGAAAAATATGTAGATGAGAATTCATTATCTGGGGCCCTTGACAGCTGAAAGTTATTTCTTCTCAAGACTGAGGAAAGGCCTTTTATACTAAGATACAATTTTTTTTTTTTGTGGGTACCGGGGATCGAACTTGGGTTCTTGCACTTGCACAGCAGGCGATGAAACCACTGAGCTAAATCCCTGGCCCCCTAAGATACAATTTTGATGAATGAAATATGTAATCATGAGTTTAATGAGTAGAAAGAAGTATAAATTTATCAACTCACAAAGATAAAAAATTATTCCTAAAGGATTAGGATAATCTTAGTAAAACTGAAGAGTGCACAAAATTCTTAAGAGATTAAGTTTAGGTAGGGAGCACTATGCAATTATGTGCTTAGAGAGAGGAAATGTCCCAGGGACCTGAAGGGAAAGGCTGAAGGGGTAGGGACAACCTTTTCCAGAACAAGGGAAACTGAGTAGAGATTACACATTTCCTGACATTTAAACAGACACGGGAAATTTACTGAATTATTATCTTCAAGGAAAAAAAGTGGACCTTGTAGACTTAATATCCATTTTGAAGGAGTTTGGTTAGACAGAGTTTCTATACCAGAAGCATCATTTCTCACTGTATCTTAAGGGAGACTAAACTAAACACCTTCCTACAATGTCTTAAAGACAAAAAGAATTAATCCCCTACCTAAAAGTGGAGCATGAAGTCAAGTTCTCAAGCGTCTCTATAGCTACAGTCTTCATGATTTGATTTTTGCGATTTAACTTATGCAGCTGATATTGACCTACAGACAAAACACCTGGATTTTAAAAAGGGACCAAAACCCATGTAAAAGCAGTGACTCTTTGCAAGGAGTTTCACATGATTAATGCAGTTTCCACTCCCACTATAACCAGCTCTGTGCAGGCCACCAGAGATGGTCTGTTTGCAGAACTGTACTGGTGAGGAGCTCCCAGAACTGCTGTCCATGGTACCAAAGGCAGGGAGCAGGATACTTCAGCACTAGCTTCCGAAGCACCTGGAGTCACCTGACTCAGCCCACTCTGCTGACAGATAAGGCTCTCTGTTCTTACACTCTTATTAATTGTGTACCCTGGTCAGGTCACTCAATAATCCTAGATTTTTGTCTCTTCTGTGAAACAGGAAGAATAAACCGTATGATGCCTCCGTAAAACTTCAGAGGATACTGGAGGAAATGGCTGCCTTTCTTTCTGATATTCTTTTTGCTTCGTGACTTAAAAAGAAACTGCAAAGACACATAGTTGACTTTATCTTATTTATATGAGACAGGAAGCACGTGTGTATATATCTTCCCAAATTGACCAGAGAACAAAACATAGCTTTAAGAGTCAAGTATAATTACATTTACTATATTTTATGTGAAGTTACAGAAGTTACTATGGCAATTAGATGGGTTAAAAAAATAACAGGCACAGTGTCTTGATATTACGTCTCAACAATGACTGCAAATGCCCTCCATTAGTCTGAGCCACTGATTCATTCTGTGATTTTTTTCACAGTGGAAGAGAAAAGAAAATAGAATCAAAGGAAGGAAACAGTTTATATCTATCTATGAGGGGAAATAAAGTTGAAACTTCCCAAAGAGAAATTAAAGCCTCAGGTTAAATAAGGAATGTAGTTAAACTCTACCAAAATGTCCTGGGAAACCATTATTTGGAATAAACTAAACAGTGCAATACCCTCAGAGCTGAAGAGTGTTCAGCAAGCCAATTCCCTAAGGAGAATAAAGGCAGCTCTCTCAAAAAGACCACAAAAAAGACAAATGATACCATCCAACACCACTTCATGGTGCATTCAGTCATAGAGCCTAACTACTGCTTGGGATTTCTGGGGTCAAGGGAAAATAGTTCCATTCTATACTCCACTAGCTGAGCTATGGTTTACGTTCCTTTTCTTTATCAGTATGTATCTGTGATCCATAATAATTACATTCATCTTGTTTCTTTCTTTCTTTCTTTTTTTTTGGTACCGGGGACCGAACTCGGGTCCTTGCGCTTGCGCAGCACGCGGCGAAACCACTGAGCTAAATCCCCGGCCCTCCTACATTCATCTTGTAGAGGTTTTATGTTATGATATTTAAAAGACAGTGAAGAAAATAACTATGGGACAATCTGTGTGCACTGTGAGGCTACCAAAATGGATTGGTACAATAGGTTTCAATTCTGACCCCATGCACCCCAGTGATAAAAGCTATGCTGATAAAGAGATCCAATCAGATGCAGAGCCAGAGAACCTGCCATTCTGCCCACTTAGCCCATGCTGCAGCCTTTATTAACTGGGCAGGGGGAGGGAACCAATAGCTCATGAAGGTTGTAGAGATGAAGGGGCAACTCTGGGTGTGCACTCTTCTCTGGGAACTTGGACAGCAGCACCGGGACAGAGGGACAGGCAGAACCAAGAAGCAGAGACAGGGCAGAGGGATGCAGAAATGAAGGGGAAAGGGTGACCTTTGTTCTTTCCTTGAATTAGGAAGGAGAAAGTGTTTTTATCATCCACTAGCACCCAGGCATGCAGGTGAGTGGCCAACTGCACATCTGCATTAAGCTGCAGTTAATTTTCACACAGTAGGCATCAGCAGCACATTTTGGATCCATTAGAGGATCTTAGGCCAACAAGCCTTTGGAGTGGATCTGACACAGTATAGCTAAGAAATGGGACTCCTCAAATTCTGGCCCGTACAGCAGGTTATATGCAATCATAAACATCAAGCAGCTTCCGCTGGCCCCAGGCTGGCTTCATACTTTCCAAACCTAGGAAGCCACAGGAGAATGACACCTGGGACACAAAATTAGAAAATTTTTCCAGGCTTGAGAACATACAGGTTTTTCAAACAATTTTATTTAAGGTATAATTTATAATCTGAAGTGCCTATCATAAAAAATTATCTCATAGGGCCGGGGATTTAGCTCAGTGGTTCCGGTGCCTGCCTCACAAGCACAAGGTCCCGAGTTCAATCCCCGATACCAAAAAAAAAAAAAAAAAATTATAGGTGTAACTTACAAACCAAGGGCCTGGGAATGAGGTTTTGTAGGCAGAGTTGAAATCTACCTTTGGTAAAATACAGGTAAGTCATTCTGAAAGCAAGGCTGAGACCAGGGACTTGGAATACACTTGGCCAGCAAATTAACAAAGGCTCCGTGAGCTAGAGAGATGATGATGATGATGATGATGATGATGATGATGATGATGATGAGTGATGAAGAACTGTACTACAGCTACTATCTATAGAATTATCTTGGCAGTAGCATCAGGCAACATAAAAAAGCTTTCAAACATACCCACAGCTAAATGCATGTTTACTTACTCCAAGTAAGTGCAATTCCTCTAGGTAGATTAACTTCAGAATCTGGACAATATGTACAGGCACATTAGAAAGATTTCAGTATTAGTTCAAATGATCTCTGTTACTTTTTCTTTTTAAGACTAGATCATCAAAGATGTCCTTTCTGATTTTTTTTTTCTAAGCAAACTTACACTAAAGCAAAAATAAATAGAATGAACATTTAGAAAAATCACAGGTCATGGCCATGTTCATGCAAAATTTCATCACCAATAGTCACTTTTGGTTTTTTCCTAAAGCAAACACTGAATACATGTCTTTATTTCTTCTAAAGCATTTGGAAGAGAGTGTGTGACCGGGCTTTAAACCCACCACCAGGCAATATGACAGAAATGGTTCCAGAACTTACAATCTTCTTCTCACGTTTGCTATTGTGCTCTACTGGCATGCTGCTGCCATTGCTTCCTGAGGGGACAGTGCAGCCAGGGTTATGTGCCTGAGATGGAGGCATGCTCTGTAAAGGTTAAGACACACAGATGCATCACACACAAAGACAACGACAGCCGAGATACACAGTAAGTACATGCACATTAGAAAAGCAATGCTAACATTTTACTACATGTGAGTAACATAGCAGCCAATTTTGCAGGCCAGAATTAAACAACTGGTGAAATCTGACAGGACTACACAGACTATGTGGCAAAAAGTATAATTAGTTTGATCCAAAAAATGAATAAAAGCATTTAATATGTTCAAAACACCTAGGGGACATCTCTTTCTCACTTGAAAGACCAAAAAAAGTCTAAAAAGCCATCAACACAAGGTATCAAAACCACAATAATAACAATTTAAAAAATCTGACCCTGGTCCCATGTGCTTGAGAAAGAGGTACCCAAGGGCAGGATGTGGGGAGTGATAACTCATGCATGGCTACATGTAGCATCCGACTTGAGAATGCAAACTTCCACTCTCCACAGACAGCATGGTTCCAGTCTGTTGTGCAGAGTGCAGACAATCAAGCACTTACCTCTTGGCTGAGAAGCGGTCTTGCTTCAAGAGCTATCCTTCTCTTGTGCTCCTCCTTTACAGGCATGAGGGGTTTGAAAAACTTTGGTGGCTGAGGAGAGAATGCTTTAAAAGGGCTGACTGTTAAGGCATGAGGAGTCTCCGATGAACAACCTGAGGAAGAGAAAAAGGCTTGAGTCTATAGGCATGGAGCCCTTTCAGGGGCACACAGGGAGCAGGCCAGTGATCTAGCCTCAGGAATACCTGGCGTAACAATGAATTCATATGCTAGTATTTGGTTAAGCAGTAAAGCCAACCTGGGCAAGCATAGAGATAGATCTTTAATCCCAGACAGTTCCTAAAGGTGTGAAAGAAATCACAATGGATGATTTTTATCCTCTTTTCAAAATCCAGCATAAGCATCGCTTACCAGACCGACTTCAGCTTGAGCTGATTTTCCGTCTCTGAATTCTCACAGCCCTTAGCGTTTAGTACATGCATTTTGGCACTTCATCATTCAGTGTTTTAATTTCTGCATATCTTATTTTCATGGTTATATTTTAAGATAGTAAATTGAGGCTCAAAAAGTATACTCAATGAATGAACTTTGTATATATTTTCTTACCAGTGTCTTTTTCCCTCAGACCACCTGGCTCCAGAGGACTAAGGAAAGACAATTCTTCCTCACTTACTCTCATTTCTTACCTTGCTTGGCCTCTCCCCCCCTCTCTTCTTCCCAATTCCTGGTACAAAAGCACTTAGTTGGTAAGATATAAAGTATAAGGTAACAGAGCTAATTTACATTTCTGGATTATGCTGTTTCCCTTAAAGCATAGGGAGGTAATGATCTTATCACTCAACAAATCAACAAAGTCATTTCTGGTATCATTTTCCACCTGCTTTAAGAATCATTTATGTTCTGTTAAAAATTCCTTTGAGTAGAAAAACAGTCCACAGGTGGATAGTCTTTTAGTACAGTACAGAGTAAGATAGTAAGATTCACAACATCTCAAAATTGACCTCAAACTCAGGACTTGATATACCAAAGATATCAAAAGTTGTATACTATTATTATTTGTGATATGTTAACTACAAAGCAAAAAAAAAAAAAGAAATCCAGTAAGTGAATGTGATCTATTTTGTTCACAAAGACAGTTTTGGATCATCTAGCTAACTAGAATTTCAACTTCATATCCCATTATGTGATAACCACGGAAGACTCTTCAGGTTATTCCTAAGTATAATTACAAAGAAGTATCACTCCAAAACAATCGCAGCACTACCTTCTTTGCTTCTTCGAGATGAATCCCTGGGCAAAGTTCCATAACATGCTACATCTTGGTAACTAGAGGTGTAATCAGACGAGTCTAACTGGTTCTCTGGCCAACCCTACAAGATAAGAATATGGGTCAACTGTCACTAAGTCACTTGAAAGGGAGGAAAGAAGCCCAGATTTGAGTTTCTTCCTCTTTTTAATGGCAGTATATGTTCTTCTTTCTTTACTTATGAAATATTTCAAGCACATATAAGAGTGATGAATACAACTACTGTCATACTCCAGGTACACTTAGAGCAAATAAATGTTAATGTCTTACTGTATTTCCTCAAGATTTGATAAAAATCATTACAAATATGGTGAAATGCACTTTTCAGCTCCTATATGGTCTGCTTCATCTTCTTCCCCAGAGGCAAAACTAGTTTATCAATTTGGCACATATCTAAGGTAACTCGGTAAAGACTAAACAGAAACATTTTTACCAGAGTGAAAAGGTTCCATTCTTAATTTGGCCTGGGTAGCAGCACAAGCTGGGACTGTCCCAGGCAGACTAGGTGGTGTGGTTACCTGAGATTTAAAAATTTCAAAAGGCATAAGGTATCGGTGTACCGAGGAGAGAACACTACTATATACCACATGTGACCATTTCACCTTACTTCAGCTTCTTAGGAGTTAGCCGACTCTAGGGACTAGATTGTAAACTTCTTGAAGACATAATCAAAAAGCGCAAGCACAGGTTATGCTCTCAAGAACTCAGAGTCTACTGATAACCTAGGCATGCCCACAGGTACACACCTTATCATCATCATCAAAGCCGGAAAGGTCTGGTCGACTGGAAGAGACCTGTAAGAAATGAATAGTTTCATCAACTGATTCAGATATTTAGTGTAATTTTCTCTTCATATAAAGAAATATAATGCTACAGATATGGCTGAAGCCCCTTCTTTACACTTAATTTGTGGTTTATTATTTCCATGCATGATTTATGTAATTACATGTACATATAAACAATAAATATCATTTTGCACATTTTTTCTTTATATAACTGTTCTCTTACCTCAGTTTTCTTTCAGTGTGTTACATAATGATATTTTGTTCCATTTTCCTATGGATGGATATCTAAGCTGCTTCTAAATTTTTCCATTACAAATATGAAGAAATAGGGGCCAGGGATTTAGCTCAGTGGTTTCGCCACCTGCTGTGCAAGCGCAAGGACCCGAGTTTGATCCCCGGTACAAAAAAAAAAAGAAGAAATATATGGCATTGGCACTGTCTCTAAGCACCACTCTAGCTACATCCTACAAGTACTGATATGTATACTATTTTCAGTATTAAGTCCAAATATAACCTGTGCATCTATAAAAATCTCTTGCAGGCTTTTCCAACCTAAGACTCATGGGCTACTTGCACTTGTGAAGCAGGCGGTGGAACCACTGAGCTAAATCCCCGGCCCTTACCATCCCTTCTTTAAATGTTATAATACAAAATATTTTAAAATAAAGAAAGTTATATAACTCAAACACATTAACTATACTGTATGTTTTATATGTGGCCAAGACAATGCGTCTTCTCTCAGTGGATACCCAGCAAGCCAAAAGGTTGGACACCTGTGTGAGCACAGATTCTCCTTGCTCTAGATAAGGTTTGTGTGCCTTCAACTCTGCTTTTCCATAGAGACTTCAGCGTAAGTTACAGAATTCTCCAAAAATAATCTATTGTGATTCTTTGGAAAAATGGTGAAACGGTGAGCAGCAACAATTCTGCCTCTCAGAGACCCGGAATCCAGACACAGGAAAATAACAACTTCAGGAAGAAACAAAAAAGAGATCAATAGGAGCTGGGAAGGAACTGACAGGAAAAGTAAAAGCTACAGAGAAATTGAAGAGGCAAAACAAAAGGCAGAGAAGGGAACAAAACAGTCGAGACTTTCTCCCTGGTTCCTAGATCAAGGCTCGTGGGAAAGGGAGACCAAAGCTGCAGAAACAAAGTGAATGCTGGGTACTCCAGGAGGTGCTGCAGAGAAAGCCGGAGGGGCAATAGACCAGTGGTTGCTGTGATCTGCAGGGGCAGTGTGGAGTCCCTGCACATGCTGCCAGAGTCCTTCCACAGGCAGTGGCTGGTAAGCGATGCCAGTCCAGGTGCCACCACATCCCTGGAGAGAGTATGCGGCCTTGGGTGCCATTATGGGAAAGGGCTGAGTGTCTGGACTCAGGGCTGAGAGCAGCCATAGGATAGCTTCACTTCAGAGTTCTCAGTGTTACCCCCCCCCCGCAGTGCTGGGGTGAGGGACAGCCACAGGAGACAGATGTCTAGGGAGCAGGCTGGAAAGAGAACCCCCTAAGGGTTTTGAGCCTTGAAGGACACAGCACCCCAGCGCCTCCATGGCCAGAGGCCAGATGCAGCCAGAGTTGCTGTAGATGTGAAAAGTCTTGGTGCCTGTACTGAGCAAGGATCTGGGGTTTGACCACCTTCTTTATCAGTATAAGCTGGACATGTCCTGACTTGGACCCTGCAGTAGCCTGGGAAAAGCAGAGGGGCTCAGAAAAACCAAGAATTGCTAGACTCCTGGAAGAAAACTGCTTTAAAATCAAAGAGAAAAAAAGGGGGGCCTTTCCTCTTTCTTCCTCATTAGTCTTTTGGGGCTTGGGGAATTTTCCTGTCCTTTTTACTTGCTTCTTCCCCACCCATCTGTTTTTTTATTTTTTCTTTTTTTCCCTCTTCTTCTTTCTAATTTTTCCTTTTTATTTCTTTTTTTTTTCCCTTTTATTTCTACATAATTTCTTTTTTCTTTTTTGGGTACCGGGGATTGAACTCGGGACCTTGCACTTACGAGGTAGGCAGTGGAACCACTGAGCTAAATCCCCGGCCCTCTTCTTTCTTTTATCTTCTATTTCTTCTTAGTTTCTTCTGTTACCTTTACCTACTTCCCAGTAGGAACCCTTACACCACTTCTCTCTCCTCATCATCAGATCCTATAGAACAAGGTTTCAAATTTTTCTTCTTGCATTCCCCCGTCCCCAATACCCTATATCTTCGATAATATAACCATCAAGCTTTATTAATCTTTAGATAGTTAACTCTATAAAATTACTGTTGAGGGTTGGAGATTTAAGCTCAGTGGTTCTGATGCCTGCCTCGCAAGCACAAGGTCCCGAGTTTGATCCCCGCTACCCAAAAAAACAAAAGAAACAAAACAACAACATTACTGTTGAATCCTTTTCTACCACTAGCAGAGATATGTTGCATTTAGTATATATCAATTATAAGTAAGTACTTAGGTTGCATTAGTGTTTGCACTGTAATTGTCCATTATAGAGGTGCAATGTTAAAAGCTGTTAGAGAAAGGTAACAAACCACATATAAACCACATACAAAGGTAAACCCATTAAAATTACAGCAGACTTCTCAACACAACTTCTCTTAAAGGCCAAGAAGGCTTAGAATAAGTGCCGCAGTGTTAAAAGTCGTTCTTCTGGTTATGTTAATATCTAATTTGTCTTGGATGATACTACTGTAGCTGATTTGCTTGATGTTGTCAGGGTTGCATAAATGTTGCTATTAATGGGTTTCCTCTGTAAACTACCACTCAGATTACCTTTCTGATATTAACAATACTGTGCATTTCCAGAGAATTTGGTGTTGGGCCAATCACAAAGCATTCTCCCCTTTGCATTGTTGTGAGACGGGGTCTCACTATGTAGTTCAGTAGCTGGCCTTGAACTCATGGTGATTCTACTGCCTCAATCTCTTGAGAGCTGGGATAATAGGTGTGTGCCACCAGGCCTGGCTCTCCCCTCCCAAATTAACCATGGTTGGATCTTGGGGCAGAGGCAAAAGACTATAGTTAGTCACACCCAAAGTATATCACTGAAAAGTGATTGACTAAAGAGATATCTATACTAGCAACAAAGACTTTCCACTATAAATGCCCGCAAACCTCAGTCCAAAACAACACAAAACAAACAAACAAACAAACAAAAACTAGAAACATGAGAAATCAAGGCAACAAAATGCCTCCCCAAACTCGAAACTCCCACAAAGCCAAGCAGGGCGCATCAATGGGAAGAATTAACAGAGGAGGTTAAAAAACAGATAAAAACAAAATGCTCAGCAGGATCTCGGAAAATATAACTAAACAGATAAAGAAATAATAATCAAAATGACCAAGAAGCTTTCAGAAGACACTAATAAAAAGCTAGCTGAGCTAAAGAAAATGATGCAAAACATGAATGACCAGTTTAGCAAAGAATTACAGTCCATGAAAAAGTTTCAATCAGAAATTTAGGAGATTAAAAATTACACTGGAAGTGTAGACAGCAGAAGCAACCAGTGTGAGGACAGAATTTCAGAATTAGAAGACAGGGATACTTTCAAACACCAACTGCTCAAAGACCCCTTAAAAGCAACAAGAGAACATGAAAAATGGATTCAACAGCTGCTAGATAACACAAAGATGACTAATCTAAGAGTAATTGGAATAGGCCGGGGATTTAGCTCAGCAGTTCCACTGCCTGCCTCGAAGTGCAAGGTCCTGAATTTGATCCCCGGTAATAACAACAACAAAAAACAATATTTGGAATAAGTGAAAAATCAGAGACAGTACAAATGACATAAAAAAAACCTGTTCACAAAAGTAATAGCAGATAATGCCTCAAATAAAGGGAAAGAAAGAAACAACAGGTGAGGCAAATAGAATCCCAAATAGCCATGACCAAAAGACAGCCTCTCTACACCACATCATAATCAAAGTACTAGAAGTCCATTACAGAGGTGCAATGTTAAAAGCTGTTAGAGAAAGGCAACAAACCATATATAAAGGTAAACCCATTAGAATTACAGCAGATTTCTCAACACAACTTCTTTTATTTTTTTTAAACACAACTTCTCTGAAAGGCCAGGAAAGCTTGGAGTAAAGTGTTTCAAGCCCTATAAAAGATAATAACTTCCAGCCCCAACTTACGCTCTTTCTCAGAAAATAAGAGCCAACTGGACTAGAAAATAATTAGCCTTGAAAACTAGAGATCAAAACTGCCAGCCCCAGGGTTGGGGATACAGCTCAGTGGTGCTGTGCCTGCCTTAGCAAGTGTAAGGGCTTGAGTTCCATCCCTGGTACAGGGGGGAAAAAAAGCCAGCCCCAGTCAATCTCTTGCCTTACCTGTCATTAGTATTCTCTTGCTAAGGGGCTACTCTGTGAGGCAAGTAAATTAAGAATAAGCTGGGCCGGGGATTTAGCTCAGTGGTTCCGTCGCTTGCCTTGCAAACGCAAGGACCGGAGTTCGATCCCAGGCACCAAAAAACAATTAAAAAAAAAAAAAAAAAGGATAGGCTGATTGAGGGGATGGGAATTTAGCTCAGCGGTGCTGCCACCTGCACCTGCCTCGTAAGTGCAAGGTCCTGAGTTCGATCCTTGGCACCAAAAAAAAAAAAGAGAAGGCTGATTGGGGCTGGCATTTTTATTTCTAGTTTTAAGGTCTGATTATTCTTCAGTCCAGCTAGGTCTGTCTTATTTTGGAAGACATACAGTATATATCTGCAAAACATTCCCTCAAAACTGGTGGAGAAATAAGGTATTTCCATGACAAGAGGCACCTCAAGAAATTCATGACCACCAAACCAGCACCCAAAGAAGTTCTCAAGGATATCCTTGAAAGAGGCAAGTCAACAATGCCAACAAGTCAAATATAATGAATACACCTGGCAGGATGAGCAACTAAGCAAAAGGGGTAAAAAATAGAAATCAGCAACAGGAGCATAATGGAATGTCAGGAATAACTCAGTAACTTTCAGTCATAACATCAATGTAAATGGTCTCAACTCCCCAATCAAAAGACATAGATTGGCAG